TATATATATATATAGATAGATAGATAGATAGATAGATAGATAGATAAATGTTAAAAATTAGAGCGAAGGATAAAAAATTTTAATAGGCTAACACTTACTTCAAAGTTTTCATCTTCATCAAAATCGACTAAATTGCCTAAGTGTGATGTGTGCCCATCATTCCGCTTAAATGTTCTCCCAGTAGGGTCAAAGGGATCAACTATGACTTGCTCGGTCCCTTTAATTTCAGCACGACAGAAGGGGCAACCTTGTCCTTCTGAATCCTATAAAGAAATATACACATTAATATAAGCATGTATAAAGAATACCTAAAAAAACAGAATTTAATAACAAGAAATAATAAACAATAAAAAAATACTTTAAAAAAAAGTAAATTAATTTCGATATATCCAATAATATTTTAATGTTTAAATAAATATCCCATTATATATGATTGTTGCTCAATATAAAGACCCCTTGTGGTTCAACTGAGAACAGTTGTTATAAAGTGAGGTTGATATATCGTGTCTACACGAAATTGGTACAAATATTAGTTATACAGCCGGACTATTTAACGAACTTCCATTTTGCGAATTTCTCTATTTTGCAATTTTTTTCGAGGCACCAAGAACAATTTGGATATTTCTTCATAAAATAACTTTCAGATTGCGAAGTGAGTTTTCTATTTAACGAGCTTTTCTTTGAGATCCACTTTCCCTATTTCCGAAAATATTTCAGAACATTTGAAATTAAAAACTCAGACAAAATTAACAGATTTTATCAGTAGCAATTAAACTTAAGAATGCATGTGGTAATGTATGCTTAAAATTGCTTCTATAATAAATGCAGCTATAGTTTTATACATAAATATAGCTTCTTCTAGTTGAAAATGCACGTAGTATGATAATGTAACACTGGATAATGTTTTGATCTGTTCTTGTTTTACATTCAGATTTCTTTCATGGATAAGATTTATAAAATAAATAGTAAATACTAGTTTACAAGATAAAAGTGTATCAATTGCTATTCTAATTATCTCTAGTGTTTATAAATTTAAAGCCTGTTTTGTGTCATTTGAGTATTTCAAAAGGTGATTTTTTATTTAACGAATTATCCATATAACGCACTTATCGGGATTCAGCAACTTCTTTAATAAAGGGCCAACTGCATTTCAAAAATACTGAACTTGTTTCGGCAAAATCATGATACACTTTAAAAATAATTATGAAACTCAAGATGCAGTTCTTTTTATGCCAATAAAGTAAAAGTATTATTCAATATAGTACATTAAGGATAAAAAGAATATTTAAATTTTTTGTTAAATGACATCTTTTGATATTCTACATTAGGTATTATTCAATATAGTACTAATTTAGAAAGTTTAAAACACAAATCAGGCAAAAAACAAAAAAATTTAAAGATGAAGTGATGTTAGCAAAACAGCACTTCATTAGGGAACACACTGTCTGCTAACATACAGGAGCCTTTCTGTCATCAGTGGTAATACCAAAGACTGACTGTGTGGCTGTGCCTCCAAGGCCCCATAATGGATAAACAAATTAAGAACAAGCAATTAAAAATTGCTTGTTCTTAATTAGTCCAAAATCCAAAATTGAAATGTAAATGCAATGAAAAATTAATGAAATACAAACACAACTCAAAAGTACATAGAGTAAGACCTAATCAAGAAACGCCTACTTAAAAGAAAAATAAAGATTAAGTTACAGTTAGAATAATCAAATCAATATGAAATATAAATTATCAAATCTTCAAAACTTTAAGAAATTAATCAAGTGCTGACCCCTTTCAAAATTCTTGAAAAATATAGTAAAAACATTCAATAAGTAAAATTTCAAAAACGTGCTGCCATCGATATGCTTCAGAAACAAAATATCCTAAATTTCACCGCATAGGCCTATTTATGCGTGCTTCAATATCGGCCGAATTATTTGAACGTCTTTAAAATACTTTTTTTTAATTAACGAAAATTATATTTACGGTAATTAAAAGGAAAATTATAATTTTCTAATGTGACTTTGAAATTACCAATAGCTGAAAGAAAATCTATTTTATTATTACAAATAAATTTAAACCTAATAATTTGACCAGTCAAAATATTCTTAAAACTGTTTAAGTATAGGTTGGAATTAAAATGTCATAAGCTTAAACATTAAATTTAAAATCTCTTCTTTTATCTTTTAATTTGATTAAAAATTTTGTTATGAAATTTAATGATCATCATCATCATAGTTGGCCAGACAGCCCAATGTGAGCCAATGCTTGCCTCTGAAAATTTCTCCATGACGACTTTCGATTTATCTTTGATCTCAAATTCTTTTCATTAATTGCGAGAAAATCAGACTCCACTGAGTCAGCCCATCTCAATCGCGGCCTTCCCCGCTTCCTTTTTCCGGTTGGTTTAAAAAGCAGTATCTTTTTTATTGTGTTGTCATCACTCATTCGAATCACGTGGGCAATCCAATTCATTCTATTTATTTATTTTTATGTATTTAATAATATCAGGTTGTTCATAAATCTTGTACAGTTCAAAGTTAAATCTCCTTCTCCAGTTATTGTTTTCATTTACACCACCGCACATTACACATCATACACCGCAAAATCTTTCTCTCACATATTGCGATACAATTTTCCTCCAGTTTTGTCATTGTCCAAGCTTCAAAAGCGTATGTCAGGACTGGCCGAACAAGAGTTTTGTAGATTAAGAGCTCTGTTTTTCTAGAAAGAAACCTAGATTTAATAAATCTTCTCAGCCCATAGGCAGCCCTATTCGCAAGATAGAATCGGTTTTTTATTTCAGGAGTAATTCTGTTGTCAATGGTAATAATTGATCATAAGTAAGTAAAACTCCTCACTGTTTCAAATCTATAAGGATTTATTTGAAGATAAGGGTCTGGGACTCATGTTTCTTGAGAAATTTAAAATCAAGATCTAAAAAATTGGTGCCAATTTCATCTGAATTAGTCTTTATTAAATTAAGACTAATACATTAAACCAAACAAAATGTACATAAATTTGCATACAATCTATAACTCCAATCAACAAAATATCATTTACCTGCCAAGATGTTAAACAGGGTGTACAAAGAAGATGGCCACAAGGCTCAATTCTGATGTCTTTATCATTTTCTGCACAGATTTTGCACAGTTGAAAAGTGGAACCCATTTCACAATAAAGTTCATATTGTTCTTGCGTAACCTTGATATGGTCTTCGGGGGTGGCCTGAACTGCCCAACTGAGATCTGGATTAATGTTACGACCATCAGGATAGAGATAGCTAAAAACAAGATACAAAAGTTTAGATTTCAGAACTCTAACAGGCAACATTACTTCACACAATAAACTAGTAAATAATCAAATAGTATGTTAGTTTTTTTTTTTTCTTGGGAAAAAAAAAAAAAATTTGTAAGCTTCTAGTCTAAAATTTCATCACAAATTAAATGATTGTGGTGCCCCAATAGGCATTACATATTTCCTAGCTTTTAAAATTTCTTGAAAGTCTTAAACTTATTTTTTTAATCATTCTTAATCGCATTGTAATTGAATTAAATCAATTATTTAAATCTTGTTACAATTTATAAAGAGCGAGCATAAAATACTTTATTCTTTTCAAATCTATCAATGTAATGGCTAACTTTTTATTTCAATAATAATGTAAGATTCCTTAATTCACTAAATCGAAAACAAAAATCTATTTATAACTCATTATTTCTTACCACAAATTTGTTTCAGTTACACGGTTATACCAATTTTTACAGTCTTGTAGGCGATTAATGATCACCTAAGTATTTTCAAATCTAATATTGATAAGAGGGGTTTGCTTTATTTTTGGTGATTTTATCTATCGATAAATCACAAACCTCGAATCTCTTTCCATGCTCCTCATTGCCGTTAGGAACAATTAATTTACTTTCAATTTCTAATTTTTGGTGACTGGGGTGCCCTTTTGATCCACTTAGTCCCAACCGTTAAAATATATATATATATCAATCCTTATTCTCGGATGAGAATAATTTTCCTTGATCCCTTTAAGGGTTTTATTTTCATTATTATTTTTATATTTTCAAAAATGGCCATATTTAAAAAAATAAAAATAATAATGAAAAGAAATCCCAAGGGATCAAGAAAAATGATTCTCTTCCCGTGCAAGAATTAGGATTGATATATATATATATATATTTAATGGTTTGGACTGGAAGGCCCAAAAGTGGCCAAAAATTGGACAGTAAATCTCCTCAACAAAGTATTCGTAATTTATTAATGCTTCAATTAACCAAATATTTTAACCTTTTTCTTAAGGACGATACAAAAAATAGAAAAGAATAACAAGTTTTGTCATGTTAGTTGCAGGGTTNAAGTTGAATTTGTGAAGGTACCGCTAAACGGTAGTAAATTCGGCCTGGACAGACCCCTGCCTTGTCATGTCAAAAACCACTTTTTGACGTCAAAAACCCAACCCTGGTTAGTTGCCATAAACAAAAAGTTCAATATTTATGCCTAAGCACAAACACGCAGAAAAAGTCACAAGAGTTGACAGCTACGTTAGTGTTTTTATTTATTTTATAAACTTAGTTAAAATCTATTTTGATAGAAATCTTTTATAGAATATTCCTGGTTTTTAAAAAGTTTTTTGAAAAAGGGAAAAACAATAAAAAGTTCCATTGAGAGTTGGCAAGGTTTAATACAGAAGGAATTAATCCACGGTTTAAAACTGAGTTTAAACCATCTTGTCCAAAACCTGTTTGTCTGAAACTCTCTTTAACTTATCAAAATCCTTTTACTCAAATTATGTCACAATTTTAAATAAATATTGTGAAAAATAAAAGGTTAAATTTTTAACTAGAAACTGAATGAAAACAAGGTTCATAGCTGCCAACATTGGGTTTTCAAAAAAAGGAAGATATTAAAAGCTGTAAAATTTCAACATATTTTTCTCCAGAACGCAATTAAATTTAAAGACAATTAAGAACACTTTGGGACATCAATTTTAATTATTTTTCAAAGTTTAATCTGTGCGCGATTTGGCTTTCTTTAAAAAAAATTCATCAAATGTTACACTGAAGCAATTTTGATTTTTACAAAAGATAATCAGCTTGTAATATTTTCTCTAGCATCTCATCACTAAGAGATGATCGAAACTGTGATTCAAAAACGATTTCACTAAAAACTAAGATAAACTACTTAAGATAACTAAATTACTTTCCAAAACTAAGATTCAAAGACGTAGATTAAGAAGAATTTGTTTAAAAAAAACTAGTCTGCTTTCGGTAGCCGAGTGAAACGTTTTCCCCCTGATCTATAGTTAGAGAGCGTTCTCATTGCCAATCAGATTCCGAAACGCAGCTGCGCTTACGAGTGTGTTTCAACTTCTGCGTCGTACCTTTGATTTTTCTCCTTTGTTCGAGCACGTGCCGAGAAGATGCAAGAATTTGATTCCTGCTCTAAAAAATTCGTTCGGGTACAAATTCGGGGCGGCAAATTCGTTGGCTCAGTTGTAAAAAATAAATAAAATAGGGAATTTTTTTTTCTTAAATCGAGGAAAATCGGAAGATTAAAATAAAAATTCGGAAGGCGGAAGTTTCGATAAAAAAAAAAAAAAAAAGGAAATCCTCCGGCTAAACCAGAAAAGTTGGCAGCTATGAAGATTTTATTTTATTAAAAATGTTTATAATTATTTTTTATATTGTATTATTTATAGTTATGCAAAAACATAATTTATCAGCATCAAAAGCATATTTAAGGGACAAGGTATTCACTTTTGTTGGTCAATTGTGGAGCTTCAAAAGTTAGATCTTTTCTTATTATTTTATTGTCCTTTAATAAGTTAAAGCCAATTTGTATAAAAAATATCAAGTGTTTATTAATATATGTAACTATCATGTGTACAATGGTTACACACATAGAATTTTTACCTTTTACCAATGTTCAAGGTTTTTGACACTTTAAGTCAGTTAAGGACAGTTTAAGACAGTAAAACCCAATGAGTCCAGTCCAAAACCCCAACCCTGTTTTGATTATAACAAAAGTGGCTTTCAGGGTCAATAAACTGCAGAAAAACACAAGAGTTAACAGCCAAGCTAATAATTTATTTATAAAAAAATAAAAAAAACATTTAAAAAAAAATAATTTAAAAATATTGCAATAAAAAAAAGTTACTTACAAGCCTTCCCGATAACCGTCTAATAGAGCTTGGCACAATGACTTGTTTTGTGGAATGGTCTGTAAAATATTACCTTCACTTGTAACATAGCCGATAGCCCACTGGCCAAGTCGAGTGCAGCTAAGTCGAAAGACGTAACTAAAAAGAAACAAAAATAGCATTTAAGCAATGTAAGGTATAAAATACTGTGGGGCGCTTGTTATTGAATAATGTGGGGATAGTATATATTGACAATGTCTACTTTCATCTATGAAAAGGTACTCCAACATAGAATCGAGTCAACATATTTTATATAGGGGAGAGGGGGGCACTTGTGAACAGGGGGCACATGTGAACACGGTATGTTTTACCAATAAGATTTGAAATAAAAAATCTTGAAATATTTTCAATTGATGGCAGTACTAGTCCTACCCCTCTGCAAAACTTTCAGAACAATGAGACATTTTGTTGTTCTTTTCTGACAATTTCTTTGTATCAGCTGGTGTTGTATATATTATAATCACTCGCTTCTTCAAGTGAAAGCATAGTATAAATGAACTAATAAACTAAAATTAACTATTGCAGATCATCATATGAACATTCAGGTAAGTTTATGACAATTACTATTTTTTTTTACTCAATTAAAAATTCTTTTTTTTTCAAGTAAGGTTTAAGAAGGGTGATGGGGCACTTGTGAACAAATCATCTGGGGCAGATGTGAACAGTTCACATGTGCCCCTACATAGTATTAAGATTATTATCCTCATGATATTATAAGCTTAAAAAATATGTATGAGTTTAAAATTATTATAATTTAATTTTCCATAATTAATTTATCAATTTTTTCTTTAATTTTTTTTAAATTTTATTAAATGGTTGATTGCGCGTCACGCATATTAACTGATACACCTGAGAAAGATAGAATTGCTAAACTACAAATGAAAAGATAGAAAAAATGAAGAAAAAAAAGCATAAAAGAGTATCAGAGAGGAAAGAAAAAGGCCCATTACAACTCCTGAGGAACATGAAGTTGCGAAAAACCCAACAGTGGAAAAATTATTGTACATCTGAAAAATTATTTTCCTATTGACAGTACTGTTGTACAGTTTAAATTCACATAGTAAGCTACAACCCTTTCAGTATAATACGTATCTATATCTGATATATTTAAGATTTTTTTCTTTAAAATATGATGCTTGCTTTGAGTTTTTAATCTTGTTCATATGTGCCCCAGGCATGTTCACATGTGCCCCCAATAGGGGGCACATGTGAACAATTGAAGTCATTTTTCTAAAATATCATAAAGTAAAGAAATATTTTATTGAAAAATCTCAAAAAATTCTATAAGACAAAGAAAAGACTATTTAAACATATGGACTTCTTTACTGTGAGAAATTTATATTTTTTGAAAAATGAAGAAATAAAAAAATTTGTTCACATGTGCCCCCCTCTCCTCTACTAGTGAATTGGCATTGTATTTTTGTAGTTGTAGATACACTACAGTACTACTCTACCAGAATTTTAGCTGTGATAGAATTCGATGAACGGATACCACTAGTTGATTCATCGTTGCTTTATGAGAAGCCAGCAGAGCTGTATTAAGATCAACGAACTTTTGAGTGTTGATTGTGAGAGCTGTATTAAGATCAACATACTTTTGAGTGTTGATTGTGAGAGCTGTATTAAGTTCACGGTCGTGGTCACTTCGGTGCTACCTTTAGCAGTCGAGTCTATACATTGTGTGCTATCAAAACTGAGTAGCAACTGCACGAGGAGGTAGACAATGTCGCAGTCACAAGTCAACTGTTCAATGCGGACCATCCATCGAGGTTGGGGTGTTCAAATCGAAGTGGGAGTTTCTACCAAGGTAGGCAGTTTCACATCTCCTCCGAAGGTCACCCATGTGGGGAGTATGTTATCGACTTATGTGGGGATAGTAGTTATCGATAATGTCAACCTGTATCTATGAAAAGGTATCCCAACATAGAATTGAGTTAACATGTCTTATATACTAGTGAATTGGAATTGTATTTTTGCAGTGGTAGATACACTACATATACTAACATAAAATGAATATGAATAAAAGCACCCATTATGATGAACTCAAAAACAGGCATGCTAATCAGTACCATTATTACTTTATAGTCATGTAACTATGACAGGGTTCCCACTCAAATTCTGAAAAAAAAACTTTACTGACTTTTCCAGGTATATTTCAATGAAAATTGAGACCCTATTTTCATCAGAACACTTTGATTCTTTTAATTATAATGTGAAATATTAGATTTTCTCTGTAAAAAAAAATTTTATTTAATGACGAAGGGAACATTTCAGTTTGACTAAAATGAGAAATTTTTATAACAAATAATTGTAATAGGTGTTAGAATTATTTAACTTGAATCTCAATAACTGATTACTGTTACTTGCAGGAATATTCCAGGTTTTTGAAAAAAAAATTGCAACTTTCCCTAACTATTCCTTGATTTTTAGAGTTAAAACAAAATTCCCTGACAATTCCAGATTTTCCTGTTCTCCCTGACACGTGAGAACCCATTATAATTCTTCCAAATTTCTTTGGCTGTATTAACAAGCACAATGAAACATTTAATCGATATTTATTCAATGATTTCGCTTACATGCTACACCACTTCAAAATACATAAAAAATCAAAGGAAAATAAAAAAAAACTATGAATACACCATTCGTTAAAAATAGTTCACCAGCAGATTTATGTAGGCAAAATTATACAAAAATAAATAAATAGTAATAACGAATAAAAAAATGAAATTCTCTGTTTTTGTTTATCAATACCAACTTTCTTTTTCCATAACTAACATGGAACCTTCTAATGTGCAAACTAATTAATGGATGAAGAGGTAGAGAATTTAACATTTGAGCAATATCTCAGATCCTTTTTATGTCTTTATATTTTTTCAATCTAGGATATTTCTTCCCCCCCCCCCACTCTTTCGCTGCAATTTGCTTAAATTTTTGAGTATTAGAACATTTTAAAATTCTTTTACATTCAAGTAACACACAGTATATTATACGTTTTTATTAATACTTGATTTATCCTATCTTCAGCAAAGTGTTATTCGAAAATATCTAATCTGCATAATGAGTACAGTTTTAAGAATGATTGATGCAGAAATTTTAGTTTTATTTCCGTATTAAATTATTACTAATCACATTTTTTCTTAACCATAAAATATTTACTCGATATGTACGATATACTTAAATGAGAGAATTGTATTTTTGCAAATGAGGATTTACTTTCAGAAACAAAGGACCTGAAAATTTGGAAGTTCCAGATCCTAAAGAATCCATAGCTTCTAAAGTCAAGCAGAGTCACTGTTGTGTGGTTTATTTTTTTAAAGCTTTCTATGCTAAAATTTAGTTTTTTTTTCCTTTTTTATTATGGATAATGATTTCTGGATTCTTACAATCGTTTTTAATTATAATGCAAGTTGTCACTGTGTTGAGCATTTTGTTCTGTATGTTCCAACTTATTTGGCTTTTCTGCAGTATATTTCACAAGTACTTTTTCAATTCCTACTATTAGTTCACACTCTCCCTATATCTTGTTCAAATTTTCAATTGTTAATAAAATACTTTTTATTCATCCAGTCAAGTTCAAATACATTTTTTTTAAAACTTGAAGTGGATGTGACACTTGATGTTAATACATTTTCAAATATTAATTCGTTAATTAAATTTAATTAATTTTAGTTTTATATGGGAGATAAAATTGTAATTATTTAATAAAAAGTAACTAAAATATAAAAATTTCTTTGTTGACCTAAGTAGAATTGACTTTTTTTTTTTTTTGAAAACTGAACAGAAATTTTTTTTTACGAATATTTTATCCAAATTCTAAATTTTATCAAATATTTTATCTAAATAAACAGCCAGATAAAAAATTATACAGAAAAAAAAAATTTAATTCAAAGTTCATATAATACAGGATTTTAGCTTCAGAAAAAAATTTCAAATGCGAAAATGTAAATAAAAAATATAGCAAAGTGACAAAAAATAATAATAAGAAACATGAAGAATTGTTTCACCAATACAGAAAATTTATAAGTTAAATAAGTGTCTTTTGTGAAAAATAAAAATTAGTTTCAAAATATATTCAATGATCTAAACTATCTACTAAAATGTTTCATTCAATTTTTTTGGGGGACCACTGTCCAGTTCCAACGGATAGATTTCATTAGTATACTTAAAATGAATTTAGTTTCAAAAGTTTTTTTAGCGGTTAATATATTTAATTAAATATTGACTTCTATCAATGTCTTATTTGTTTACACTCTAATAAAAATCAATAGAATGAAAAGGGTTAAATTATTAACTTATACAGTAGGGAACCGATTATCCGGAACGATCGGGATCATCGCTGTTCCGGATAACTGATTTTTCCGGTTTTCTGCATCACCACAAAAAGCCGTTCTTTTAATATTAAACCAACCTGAAAAAAATTTTTTTGGATATAATCTTAAAAAGAAGAAAAAACGATGAAGTAATACACTAATGATTATTTCCAAAATGATGGTAAGGTAAACATCTTTCAAAAAAGAAAGGAAAATCCTAAAATCTTATGAGGAGAAATTATTTTTTTTTTAAAATGGCGGGCAAATGNAATTACATAGTAAAATTTATGTATAACCTGTAACTAAATAAAAAAGATACACATTAATAAACTCTATCTAACTATCAGTGTGAATGTATCCAACAATGGAGGAATAAAATAATGGAGATTTTACTAGTGGTATTTCTTAGGTTACGAGCAAAGTTTTGATATATCAAGTCCAAAAAAAAAATTTCAAAATTGGAAAAAATAAAAGTTTTTACAATTAGCAATTTAAAAAATATGTATATAAATATTTAACCAAAGAAGATTCTTTTATAAACCATCATTTATAATTACTTAAGCTATAAACTCTCAACATACTGCAGTACTGCGATAGCACCATTTGTTGAGGAATTAGAGAAGTTTTTTTTGCCATCAGCGGATATTTTATCGGCAAATTTTTTTTTTTACAAAATTCAGAATATAAGGGTAAACAGGAAATAGTCATAAAATACAGGGTACTTCATTAAAAAACAGGAGACTTGGCAGGTATGTGAATGGAAAAGAGAGAAACTAAAATTGGAATGCTGGAAGAAAATATTGAAGAGAAACATCTACAACATTTATTTGAATTCAACCAAATATTTGCTCTTCTTATAACTAGAGGTCAGATTTTGTTGACTTAAAAAATCCCAACAAATGCTCTCAAAAATGCAAAAAAAATTTCCTATGCAATACAGATTCTATGTTCAAAAGAGTTTGAAAGAAATGTTATGAGCTAATATAGTTACAGTAAACTCCAGATTATCCGCTTTGCAGGTCATGCCAGCTTCATTTTTTTTTCTTTTAATGATAAACAATACAGCATTTAGAATTGAAAATAAATAAATTCATAGAACTATTTTTACTTTATTTTAACCCGTTCACCTAGGCACATTCTTTGTATCAGAAGAAATATAAGAGTCAGTAATTTAAAAAACATTTTTTTAATGAATGTGATAAACCACTTGGTAAATGAAGTAGAAAAAAAATATACCTTCCTGGTTTACTGATATAGTTTTGTAATCTTGCTTTCACTTCATCGTAAGTAAGAAACGCTACATATCCTGGATGAGTCACTGCAAGAATCTGCCAGTTACGAAGCAGGGTAGACCACGGTTGAAAAAGCCTGAAATATATCAAATATTATATATGTAAAATAGAGAAATGAATAGAAGTAAGAAAATTTAGCACACCTAAGTAGAATGTTTGGGATCGAAATTACTTCAGATAATTGAAATACATTAAAGAAGAACTTGTATTTAATAATCTACTTTTATTTATCAACAAACTCTAAAAAGTTTAACAAAGTGAACAAAGAACTTAAATGTTACAAATGTGGTTTTTATGATGAGAAGACTAGATATTAACCTGACAATTTTTAGCTTTTTAACGATTGCATTAGTATTGTTAACTATTAAAAATAAATTGAGTGAATAGGAATCAAAACTTTAAAATACTGTAAGTAAAAATTGGGATATATAATTCAAATGCTGGGATATATAAGTCAAAATAAAATGAACAAACAAAAATAAGATTATTAGAAGAAAATTTCTCCAGAGAAATAATGTAAGGAAGAAATGTCTTTCAAACGAAAACCTTATTTAGAAAACCTTAAAGAGAAAATTCGGCATTTGTGAACTTCTTCCAGTACTACTTTGCTTTTATTTACTCATTGTGGCGTCAAGAAAATCGTTTGTCGTAGATAAGAAAATACAGAACTTTCTTTGAAGATGCTGAATGAACATAAAATAAGTTTAAAATATAGAGAAAACGTGAAGAAAAAAATATAATAAAACTGAATGAAAAAAGTAGAAAATTCTTAAAATAAAATATTTATTTATTATTTTTGATTTATTTGTTTTATTTTATATATTTTTTTTACTAAATAGGTTCTATTGTTGTTTAAAATTTTTGGGCGCTGCTCCCACTATTGTATTGATATATTTTGTTCTGGCTATATTAATGCAATATTAGATAGCACTCCTTTTTTAAAGATATAATTGTGTGAGCTGATGACAAGATTATATCTTTTCATTATTTTATTTTCTGGCTGCTTCTTTTTAATTTTTTTAATGTAATTTATTTTTATGTATTTTTATTTTTTTAATATAATTTACTTTTATATATTTTTTTTAATTATTTTTTTTCTTCTCTTTTCATTATTCTTTATTGCATTTTAATCCATGTTCTTTTTTAATATTTTAACTTATAGATATGCCTGTGAATATATACATAAGGAATGAATAGACACAGATTTCAAACAATAAATCACATTTTTAATACATAAAAGTTTCAAAATATTTGTACCTGGTGAAGACATCAAATTCAAAATTAGATATATAATCATTGCACGTTAAATCTATAGTGGATTTAAGTGCCATAGCTTCCAAACCAGAACTTATGGCATGAACTTGATGAAGAGTTTGTCGAAAGATACGCCATGGTACTATGGTGCTAAAAAATTTAAAAAACAATGTTAAAATTATAAATTTAATTAAAAATAAATATTTTATACATAATACCAGTGATTTAAATGATTTTTTAACCATTGATTATAATCCTTAAAATAAAATTAAAAAAAACTATCAGAAGAACTGCATTATTTTAAAGAAAGATTTGAAGTTATAACAAAAATATAAATTTTCTAAAGAAAGTATTTATATAACACATATTTTTTTACGCAAGCATACCTGCAAACATTGGAGAAATAAAATAAAAGAAATTTTACTAATCGACTCAATTTTGGGTTTATGACTACTGATGCTCCACTCCACAGCCTTGTAATTCTGAACCCAGTCCAGAAGACAAGGAAACTCCTGTATCAAGTATTGGGTGAAATTTGCTTTTTTAAAGGACTTTTTAATGGAACTAATCTGTATTTGAGTTACATGGAGAAGAAAACCATAGAAGCCTACCACGATTACCCTGACAAGGAGACTATAACACATCATTCGTGTAACTCATATTGACCAGTCCCAGATGGGATTTGAACCTGCGTGCACCTCATTGGAAGGCACCATCTCGTGAGCCACCACGTCGCGACTTAAACAATTCTAATAACACTCGACATATTACAATACTAGCAATAGCACCATCTGTTGAGGAATTAGAAATATTTTTGTCATCAGTGGATATTTTGTCTTGAAATTATTATTTTTTTCCCTTAAATTTCTTCAACAAATACGGAGAAATTTGAGAATATATAGGTAAATAGGAGATAGTTGTAAAATACAGTCTGTCATTACAGTTGTAAAATACAGATTAAAAAACAGGAGACTTGGCAGGTATGGACAAGCCTTAAACATTTTACGCAAGGTACAAACTAAACAGCTTAAGAACTTTTCCGTTAGCCAGGCACTAGTTAATTTGACTATTTTCTTAATTTTTTATTTTTTTCCCCTTTTAGAACACAAAACAAAAAGGATCTTCCAAAAAAAGAAAAAATTTTTAATATATTAACTTCCACTCGGCAAATAGGAAAGTATCATAAATTTTTTTAAAACAATGTAAAGATACGGAATAGTTGGTTAGCTATTATCTTCCATGTTTATAAACTATAATTAATGCTACAGCTGTATGAATAATTATAAGCTTTTGAACCATAAAATAGATGTTTAATTCAGCATATTATTTACATTTTCAAATCATGAAGTATGCCATAACTTAACCCAATGAAAGGCAAAAATTCTGAAAATTGATATTAATAGAAAAAGTAAAAAGGCAAAGCAAAAAATGAGTGATTTTGTGAATGAATTTTTAATTCTCATTAGAAAAAAAATAATACAATTACTCAGTTTATTTTTTTGCCTTATAACAATAATTTGTTGCCTTTTTAAACTAATTTTTGAGTTACTAACATAACTGACTAATTATATAATATAGGTAATATTAATTTCTTAATTTTTAACTAATAATTTCTAACTCATTTCATTCATAAAAGTAAAAATCATTCATGTATGAGAAATATTATTTAACAAGTATTTTTTTTTAGTTGGAAACTATACTTACCATACCATCAAATCTAATAAGACAATTCAATAGACACTCAAATAATTTTTGTTCATATTCTGTAATGCAACATATTTATTTCTCTGAACAGATGTTATTTTATGTTTAAAAAGTGCAATTAAATTAAAATAGTAATTTAATTGTGATAATCACAAGCATTTGCATTGTTTAAATTTTTTCCCCACTTAATTTTGGTCATCTTGTCACTTGTTAATTTCATTCAGCAATAAAATTGATTTAACTAAGTGACAAAAAAAAATGGAATTTAATACTAGTTTATAAATTTAATTTAATTAATTTATGTTATAACTATTAATCCTATTATTTTTACAGAATCAATATCTTTTTTTTGTTCCCACAATACCACAGGAAGTCATTTTAAGCAGAAAGAAAAAACTTAATGGATAATATTTTATGTTCTGACAATATCATAGTAGGTTATTTTAAGCAGAGTTGACAAGGTTTAGGGCAGAATGGATTAATCCACAGTTAAAACCAGGGTTTAAACTGTCCTGTCCAAAAGCATTTTATTCAAATTATGTCACTATTTTTAAAAAATAAAAGGTTAATTTTTGAACAAGAAGCAAAATGAAGACAAGTTTTTGATTTATTGAAAAAGTTGAATATTATTTTTAATATTGCATTATTTATCCTTACTCAAATTATGCCTTATTCAAATTATGTCACTATTTTTAAAAAATAAAAGGTTAATTTTTGAACAAGAAGCAAAATGAAGACAAGTTTTTGATTTATTGAAAAAGTTGAATATTATTTTTAATATTGCATTATTTATCCTTACACAAAAACATAATTTATCAGTAATAAATGCATTTTTATTCATATTTAAAGGATTAGGTATTCATTTTTGCTGTTCATTGAAATGTGGAGCTTCCAAAGTTATAAATCTTTTCTCATTTTATTATATTATTCTCCTTTTATCAAATTAAAGCAAATTGTATAAAAAGGTTCAAATATTTATTAATCTATGAAATTATTATGTGTACAATGGTTACACATAAAGGATTTTTACGAATTTACCCAAAGTTCAAAGTTTTGGACACTTTGAGACAGTTTCAGTCAATTTAAGACAATAAAACCCAGGTGTCCTGTCCAAAATCAGTTTAGGACATCCAAAACAACAGCTCTGATATTAAGCAGAAAGCAAAAACTCGATGGATAATATTCTTTGTTCTCACAATACCACAGTAAGTCATTTTAAGCAGAAAGAAAAAAACTTAATGGATAAAGTATTTAATATCTTCATTTAATCTATCCTATGTTATGATTAGTTGATAATTATCTCCATTTATAAGCATCATCTGTAAGGGCTTAAGAACTTTTACTTGTTGAATTATCATAAATATTTTGAATTTCAAAAAGCGTTAATGTTCTGTTTTTATGCAAGAAAAATCAGTCAATAATTTATATTTTCTAATCCCATTCTTTCTTATTTTCATGTATAACAACTAATTATATTACTTTTATTCAATATTTTAAAAAGATAGGTAATTCCTAGCTATTTATATGCCAATGTGCGAAAAAAGGAAAAACAATAGCTTGAAGTCCGAATAACATTTTTCACACATTTAAAATTTACGTTACTAATTATTATTTATCTTCAGTTTAAATCCGATTCTATATAATTATTTACCTATTTTAAAAATTTATACAATTTGTTAGTTTTCTTTCTTTTTGTAGTATTGTTTATCAAAAATCTAGCTTTTATGAAATAAATACAAAATTTACGGAATCTTAAAAGGCTAATTGGTCAGGCACCAAATTAATAAAAAAAAATTATTCAAAACCAACAGTTCCATTTTTGGAACTTTGGCATTTTAAGAGTTCTAGTTTTAGATATTGCCTGAGTTATTTGAATTATGCCGTGCGCATGTTATTTAGTTAGTTATTGGTTTGACATCAAATTAATTGAAAACTTTGGTACATATGCATTTTAAGAGTTTTAGTTTTTGTCTATTTGAATTATGTTGTGTGCATGTACTTTTTATAGCATTCAAACAAGTCTTGCCTAACATTTTAAACACGAATTTTTTTTCCTGTCTCTTAAATGACATTATCAGATAAATTTAAAATCTAGTCAATCCACCAAAATTGGATAAAACAAAATCCTAAATACTTGAGGGAAAGCCAATTCAAAATCCATTGAAAGTTGATACAGCAGAGCTCATTCTAGTAAGAAAAAAGAACAGGGTACAAAAGTTTAAAAAAAGGGGCATTATTATTCTAAAAAGGCAATAATTTCCTTCTATGGGCTTTACACGTTCAATTGAAAAAACATTGTCATTTTTTTTTTAGGTACTTTACTAAAAGTAGCAGAGCAATCATATTAATTACTAATTTTTATTAATAAATTAACATATATATATACGGAGTTAATGAGCTAATTAGCCTAGTAATTTATTTAAAATGCATGCATGTATTAATAAATGTATGTTTTAAAGTGTCTGTAGCTATGATTTAAAAATTAAAATGATTAATAATAATTATGATTTAATGATAGTGAAGTAACTGCAAACTTTCAAAGACAAGTGCAACAACATTCCTTTCTCATATAAATCTATGTATTGACAGCAATAACAAATGAAAGAAAAAGAGTTGAAAATAACAAAAGTTTAAGAAATCCATTGCAGAGTTTGGGAAAAAAATAAAGAAGGGTTGAGGAAAGAAAAGGCAAAAAGTGTATGGAGTTTATTATATCAGGGCACTAATTTACTTCAGAGGCAACAGGGTGGATTCTTTTGACTAAAAAGGCAGCAGGGTGCTTGGCCCTGTTTACCCTGCTTAGAATGAGCTCTGGATACAGTATCTGAATTTGTAAAAAATGCACACACTAAGTCGGTAGCAATGTAAAAAAAATTATCAAAGTTATCATATTTATTTAATGATCAAATTTATTTTTGGGAACTTAAGGGTAAATCTATCATTTAAATTGATAAGTAAACAACAGCAAGCGAAGATTTCCATATTGTAATCAACAGCAGAATAATCACCGAGTCATGGAAACTTCTGGGCAAAGGATTGCAACAAACTAACAAATAAATTAACATAAGGAGATCAAGTAGTAAGGTAAAACTCATATAGCAAACCTCAAAATTTTTAGAAGTTAAAAATTTACTAATTTGAAATGCATGAAGCACCCTGACAATTGTAATTGACAAAACAGATCATGATAATGAAATATCCCCAAAAGCAATTTAATTCACTCTACTTGGAAGAAAGAAAAAAGAGAAAACTTATGTACAGTTTTGCATAACTTTTCAGATCAAATTGTTACACAATATACTTGAGAAGCCTACTGAGAAACTCAGCATTACAGATATTAATAAAATGAAAAAATCCTAGAGTCTAAAAAAATAATGATAATGAATAACGTATTAAATATCAAAAATAAGATTTTCATTATTTAGGTTTCTTTAAAAGGAATAGTTGGGGCCTATAATAAACTATAAATATTAATGAGTTTTGCTTAACAGCTTGATTTTATAAATGCCCAATGAACACACATAGAGTATATTCAAATTAGAATGTAACAAAATTTTAAGATTGTAGGATTAATTATTGGGTTGAATACAGAATGTTAATGTGTATGTATTAAGTTCAATAACCTGCAAGCAAAACAAGTATTAAATATATAGGGTAAGTAAATGTTTGCCATACATAAATGTTACATTAATAAACTGCATTTAAAGTCAGTTACGACTTTAAGATGAAGTCAAACATAAAGTAACAGAACATGTAAACACTGTTTTCTACCTTTCACCAAAAGCAGATTTCCAAAAGTCAGCAGCATCACTTTTGGTGATTCGAAAGCCATCTCCAGAAAAAGTTCCATTCGGATAAATGGCTTTCAGTTCTGACAACATATGACTGAAAACTAAACTAAGTTTCGTTAGATTCCGTCGGTAGTGAGACGACTCGTCGAACATTTTCTCTTTGCCTTCTTTGAAAAGTTTGATGGCTTGTTTACACTTACGATTTAGATTGTCAATAAAGATTCGAAAATATTCTGTATCATTCAGAATATTCATCTTATCTTCGTGTTTATGATAAATTGTTCGAAGATGTTGATACGTGTCAGGAAGTATATCTAATATGAAAGGAGGACTGTTTTTCAAGTTCATTTTGGGATGTTGGCACAATTTCACAACTTTGTCCATTAACTTCCATGTTTTTTCGATAGTCCTTCGATCAATCACAAATTTTGGAGTCGCCATAGCTTCAGAAAACGCACCCTGAAGGCGGCTAAATATCGAAGATATATTCATTGCCTGCATATTCCGACAACGATTACTGACCGCCATTTTCATTACTTCCCTTACCCCCTCCCTCGCTCTGCTCTATTTCCTCTTCGGGCTAGCCTCCGATTCATTCACATTTTGTCAATGAATACTACTCAATGAAATTCTTCTTTTTACCCTTCCTTTCTATGTAATAATTTCACACTACTTCTTCTAAATAACAGCAAAGGGAATGAAGAAAACTAATATCAAAACCAAAAATATTCTAATTTTTGTGTACTATTTACTATTTCCGGGAGCCACTTTTTACAATTAAAACAAATAAATTTTCATTGTTAACTTTGAAAGCTCTAAGGAAAAAAAAGGAAAAGCATGTACTCGAAAAATATTACATAATCATTATTTATTTGCTAAACTAGTTTATTGGTATTTACAAAAGAAAGCAAAAATGATTAGCGTCATTTCCTGGGTTGTAGCGTCTTTTTTCCTAAACGCTGGATTTCCTTAATGCTGGTTTTACGAACTTTATAAGAAGATTTGATAACTATTTCTCATAAGATGCACTGTTTTGTCAAAAAAGAAGCATAAAATTATACTCTTAGTTTATATGACATGTACACACATTACAAAAAGCCAATCAAAATTTAGAGTTCGTGCATGAAGCGTATAATTTGAAAGCAGAAATGAAGCCTTAGATAGGCAATCGCAATATGTATGCAAGCTATAAGCGCAAAAAAGAGAACCATTTAAAACTAATATAAACGATTCCCTCATGTAAACAAAACAGCTGCCTCTTCTAACAGCTGATAGTATTACAAAGGTTATTGTGTTAATTAATTTTCTAAATGTAAGACTTGAAAATTTTAAAATTTACAAGATACTAATTCAATCAATTAGAAATTTGATAAAAATGTAAACTGTTCCATGAAAAAATTAATTTCCGTAATTAGCTTTCCTTCCCGTTATTTTAAGCATAAACCAGGTTTTAAAATACATTTGAATATTAGCAATATTCTTGCTTATATTTGCTTTGTCTGCATTAGTGGAGTCAAATGACAATGTCTAAGAATTATGATTTATTTGACTAGTTAGGGTTGACTTATGCTACATTTGCTCTTACCATTATTGAGGAAACTAAAAGATATATTTCAACCTGTTCTAATCAATTGTCATAAATAAATGTTTTAATGGTTTTCTAACTTTTTTACAAACACATTAAAAATTAATTTATATCTTGTACGATTTTTTTTAATAGTTAGTTATAAAAGATTTTTTCATTTGATATGTTTTCAGAAAATACAAGCTTTAAAATGAACTCAATAAAATTGTTTCAACGTGGAATTCTGCTCAGAAACTTACTAAGACATTTTTCTATCAAATGTGGTCAACACCAGAATAAAACTGTAAGTTTTGTGATTTTTTTATTTTATTATTATTACAAATAGTGTGCTAAATACATTGTTCTTTTTTTAAAATACTTTCTCTTTAAATTACAGTTTATAAGAAAACTTTCTTCAAGTTTTTCCAATCCGAAATATACTCTGCCTTCATTGGTTTCCTCTCTATTGTTTATAAAAGCTCTAACAAATGATAAATCAGGTTATTATTGTTGTTTTTCAGATTTTATTTTATGTTTTATTCTGAAATTAAAGTCTTAACATTACCTATAAAAAAATATAAAAAAAGTGTTTGCAACATTTAAATTCAAGTTACAGATTTTAAAAATTTTTAAGTTATATGTTTGTTTTTTTCATTTTAGTTTTTACCTTTGCAATGTTAATCAAAAATGGATTATGTCTGTGTTGGTAATTAATATTATATTTAATAGTGATCTTTGAAAAATTTTCGATTAAAGAAATATATGATATGACATCATTGGAACATCAATATTATCATTTGTATGACAAATGATATCAATGACAAATCAGGTTATTGTTATTTTTCAGTATTTTAGTTGTTTTCAGTACTTAAATTCATTACATTACCAATAATTAAATAAATTTGAAAAAAATTATGTAATATTTAAGTTTAATTGAAAAATTTTAAAGTTATATGTTTTCTTTTATTTCCATTTCAGTTTTTACATTTGTAATGTTGAACAAAAATAGTTTATGTCTTAGTTGTTTAATTTCTTATGGTAAACCTTTCAAAAATTTCTGAAGCAAAAAAATATAGAATGCTAGTTTTGACATTTATGTTAGTAATTATGATTACCGAAATGATTATTCAAATAAAGCACAAAAATATTTTTTTAAAAAAAGTTTAATTAGTTTATTATTATTGTCTGCTCAAGCCAGGATTATAAATAATTACCATAGATATTTAATTTAACAATGGGAAAAATGCAAGATAAAACCATTTATTTATAGCAGCAATAATATTTAATTGGTTTCTAAGCATGCTGTTACAGTATAAAATCATGATGCATTATGACTTTATTTATAATGTGATTGATGTTACATTGAAAGAAATCCCACTTTTATACAATATTATGAAGTTGAATACTGAATTGAATATTAATAATCTTAGTTTAAAACAGAGTTGGCAAGGTTCAGGACAGAATGGATTAAACCAGTGTTTAAACCATTCTCTTCAAAACTGTCTTAAACTATCCAAAACCGTCTTATTCAAATTACGTCACAATTTTTGAAAAAAAATATTGTGAAAAATAAAAGGTTAATTTTTGAATAAGAAACAAAATGAAAACAATTTTTTTTCTTTTGAAATAAGTTTATTATTTTTAATATTGCATTATTTATCCTTACGCAAAACATAATTTATCAGTATTAAAAGCACATTTATTCATATTTAAAAGATTGGGTATTCACTTTTGTTCAATGAATTGTGAAGCTTCAATATTAAAATTTTTCCTATTATATCATTTTCCTTTAATAAGTTAAAGCAAATTCTATAAAAATGTATCAAAGTATGATTAATATCTGTAATTATTATGCTTCCAATGGTTACACCTTTATAAATAATTTTTACTTTTTACCCAAGTTCAAGGTTCTGGACACTCTCACAGTTTTTGTCGGTTTAAAACTGTAAAACCCACATCTCCTAGCCAAAACACTAACCCTGGTTTAAAAGAAAGATAAAAAGAATTTCAATGTATTTGATTAAGTATTTCTGTAAGTAGATAATTTACAATTTTTATTCAAGAAACTGAATAACATATTTTTTCAGGTTTAAAACCTGACATCATCACTAAGATTTTCATGGAAATGTTAGAAATATTTATAAATTTTTTTCTTGTTTTTCTACTTCTATTTTATGAATATTATTCTTAAACTTGTAGATAAGATCATTATTGAAGAAGCTGATAATTTATATGATGAAGCTAAGTTTGGACAACTTCATTCAGTTATCTATTCACATAAAACATCAGACAATCCCGAAATTTTATGGAGAGTTGCCAGATCAATATTTGAAAATTCTCGGAATGAGAATGATAAAGATAGGCTAGCAAGTTTAGAAGAAGCTCTTGATATAGTTGAAAGAGCACTAGAAATTAATGAGCAGTGCTGGGCTGCGCACAAAGTAATTATTTTATTAAATTAATATTTTTGTTAAATCTAATTCCTACTGATTATACTATTTGTCTCATTTGTACACATTTTTTATTACTGATTTCTTGCAGTGGAAAGCTATTTTATTGGATTATGTTTGGCGCTACAAAAGTACAAAAGAAAGAATTATTCATAGCTTTGATATTAAGAAGCATATGAAGGTCTGTATTGAAATATTAATTTTTTTCACTAACAATTTAACTATGTTTGATTTCTTAATGCCATGAACTCTCACTACTATGATTCCAATTCAACAATAACCCTTTATTATGATATTGTTTCGTGAACCCGGCGAACTTGCATATGAATTAATGTCGTACTCATTTCAATATTACGATATTCCCTGTAGCAATAAACCCCTGTAAAGTGATTTTTTTTCCAAATTTCAACCTTATTTTCTCTATTTATAATTGGTTTTCAAATAATGTAAAAAAAATATTATTTTATCATCTTTTGCCATTTTTTCTGTCGTTTCTGACAAGAGAAGACTCACTGCTGACCACCCCAAGAGCTTCCATTTTTAGAATTGCCTCCTTTAATCTCTTAAGAAGTCACATATGTAACATTCCTATCTGATTTCATTTCCTTCATGTTAAAAGCTGATCATGAGTCACAAATGGCCACAAGCATCACATTNAAAAAAGACTCATAGCTGACCAGGCCAAGAACTTCCATTCTTGGAATTGCCTCCCTAATCTCTTAAGAAGTCACAGATGTAATATTCCTATCTAATTTCATTTCCTTTATGTTAAAAGCTGATAATGAGTTACAGATGACCACAAGCATCACATTAACACCTGAAAGAGAATTTTTTTCTGTAGAGGATGGGTGGAGCTCCATTCACTAACAAAAAACATTTTCGTACTTTGGCTTCAATGCATAATTTTTTGGTTAATTTGACAGTCGAAAAAATGAAAAACAAAAATATCAGATTACTTTCAATAAAAACGGTTTTTAGGTATGTTTACGATTTTATTTCAATTGTTTTTAATATTTAACCATAATTAACACTCTGCAAATTAATATTTTAGGTAATATATAAATATATTTATAGTTAATACATGTATAACATTTAAATTTTTAAAAAAAATGTTATTGTGTCTCCAAAGTATGTAGGCCCTTGATGAAACAATGTATCCCTCTACAACAATTTATTTATTTAGTCCCCAAAATATTGTTGTAGCGAGGTTTTACTGTAACTGTCTATTATTTATTAGGGATTATTAGGAATTATAGATGAAGCTATGCATTCAAAGAAATTTGTTGGAAAATTACCTTAAAAGTCCGAGATTTCTTAAATCTGAGAACTTCTTTCTTAATCTTAAAACTAGATTTAAATATCAGGATTTATAATAGAATCATAATTTGATTTTTTTTTTAAATGAATGACCATATAAATCTATTTCCAGAAATCTGTAAAAATAATCACCAAAAAAATATATTTAAGTATTGGATATTTATTCTTATAATTAATATTCGCTATTTGTTCTAGAATCAGATCTGTTAATTAACGTTTATTTTCGAAGATGTGTTGCAAAATATTAAAATAATGTTGCAAATCAAGGTGTGTTACCAAATATTTATTTTATCTAGTTTATTTTCTTCTAGTTTTGAATTTTGTTCAAGCACTTTTGTAAATGTTTGAGCTATCCAAAATCAATACGAATTACTGAACAGACATGAGACATATTGTTACTGTATTGGGAAAGTTAGTGTTTGAATTTTTATGTACTGAAAGATTCCGAGAGAGAACAAATTGAGTATCCAACTAGAAACATTGATAATAGGTCTTTTTTATCCTGTCACATTACAGCCCTAGAAACATTCATATTGTTTCTAATATGCCTCAGTGTTTTTTTTTAGCTTTTTTGGTTGATCATACAATAAATATATCTGAATTATTCATGGTACAACATACTTGAAGGATGAAATTATGCAACAAAAAAATTACTATTCGTTTACAAAATTTACCCATTGAAATGGCTGATTGAAATTAGTATTCAAATATTAAAGTATTATAATAAATATAAAGTATTTTTTGCATTATGCATTTTTCAAAATTTGCAAGAGCTTATAAAAATCAACAAATCTATAAATTGATAAAAACTGATGTCAAATGCAAGCAATTGGAAACTTTTCAATAAGGCTTATTAAGGGATAACTCGCTAATTTATTTTTGTGAAGTTGTAATTTTTTTAATTAAACTCAGATTATGATCAGTTTTGCTACCTAAATATGTATTTCATAATTCTATTACTTTTACATGTCTGGAGGAATTATCCTGAAATTGCACTGCATAATCTTTTTATATTTATTATTGATACACTTGCATTACAAAAAAGTTTGTTTTACATTATAGCGGGCAATTGAACTGAATCCAAAGGATGGTACTTCTTATTACATACTTGGAGAATGGTAATTTTAATTTTTTGTCTAGATATACGATTCTCAAATGAGAACTTTATTTAAAAATGAGTCATAATCAGTCATCATTATTTTGAATAATATGCTTTGTAAATTTGTTATTAATTTTTTTTTTCGTTTTTAAACATTATAATATACAACTAATTCTACAATAATATTTATATAGGTGTTATACTTTTGCTGATATGCCATGGTATCAGAGGAAAGTAGCTGCAGCAATATTTGCTTCACCACCTACTTCAACTTATGAGGAGGTATAATCTACAAAAATTAGTCTGTTAATTTGAAAAATATATTCTTGCAAAATTAGGAAATGTTGCTTCTTGTCTGGATGGTGATAGCATTGTTAACAGTGGCCTCTTCTTAAAACATGAGGCAACTATTTCAAAAATTGAACATTTTAAACAATTAAAAAAAAAATAATTATCTGGAAGCCACTGAGCACTCGAGGTAAATGTATTAGTGGTTACTTTTTGCATTAAAATGACCTTAATAGTAATTTTTATCATATTATAAAAATAAAAAAAATTCATTTAAAAAAACATTTTTATTTGTAACCTGGAGCCTTGGTGGCTCAGGGTATAGAGTGCTCGCCACCCAATGAGGTGACCCGGGTTCAATACCAGCAATAGCTTGTCAATTCGAATTTTGCACCCGGCTTGCACTGACCGCAGCTCTAGCGTAAAATATCCTGAGTGGTAGCTTTATCATGGGTTAGAGTCTCCTTGCTGTCAGGCTAACTGTTGAAGACTTTCATGGTTTTCCTCTCCATGTGACTGAAATGTGGGTTAGTTCCATCAGAAAGTCCAAGTCATCAGAAAGTCAGAACAAAGACAAATTTCTCCCAATACTTGATCCAGGAGTTACCTTGCCTTCTGGATCGGGTTTAAAATTACAAGGCTGCGTTGTTGAATATTAGTAGTTCAACAACAGTTATAGGTAACCTAACATTATTGTATGAAATGCAATATTATAAAAATGCAATTAAATGAAAATTATTCGACAAATACTTCCATAATTAATATCAATGCATATTATAAATTAAGACAAATTAAGGCATATTACAAATTAAGTTCTGTATCCAGATCACTAATTTCATAAAAAATATTATAAAAATTGATGGCAGGAGTAAAAGTTATGCAATAATGTCATACCAAATGATGCTAAATACATTTAATCTTTATTCCAATGATATGAACTTTAAAAAAACGAGCTTCAATAATGTAAAGCCACCAAAAATTACAAGTTACAATATTCGATTAAAGAAAATTTTAAGTTATTTTAGCTATTTTAATTGAAAAACTTAGTGGTAGAACCAAGTAAGTTGCATTTTCAGAACGAAAAAAAATTATATCAAAATTATTTTATTACCCATTTATTAGTAGGTGGGAATAATAATTCTTTTCTTTATTTTATTTACCACTACCTAATTTGAAATAAAAATCACACAATTAATTGTGTAAAGACTAGACAGAAGGCAAAAACATTTCTGTTACATTAAACATATCCATATTGAAGCAACCACTTTATGTTATTTTCTCTGATTCATTAATTTCCCAAAAATATCACTAGCCTGGTTCTTATGTAAAGCTCTTTAATTATGTCGATACATGCCTTTAAATTTTAAGCATGATTTCTCAGTGTTGATTTATTTATTCTTTTTTTTTATCAACTCTGGTAATATAAAAAAAGCTTTACTTCAAGACAAAGGTGCTTAAATCATGTTTGTTTGTTTTTTAATTTTCCTAGTTGTTGTTGTTTTTGTATGCCTGTTAAGGCAGAGATGTGTGATTGTTCTTGTTTTCTTGTGGCGTCATCTATGGCCAAGAATTAAAATTTTCATAGTGAAAAATATTGAAGAAAAAAGTTTATCCATAATTTTATTTCAACAATTAGTTGACATCTATTTAGTTTAATATTGTATATGAATAATTCATTCTTGTTATTATTTATACTTATAAATTATTTTTAGGCTCTTAGTTGTTTTGAAACTGCTGAAAAAGGTACTGTACCTCATTCCTTGTTATACTTTTCAATTTGAAACATTAACCAATTTAAGTTATGTTAAGAGTTTTTGTTAAGATTCCATTAGTCTTTCAAAATTGTGGGCTCTCAGGACCTAAAATTTAGGAATTTTTAGATCCCCTTTTTTTAAAAACAAAGAAAAGTTATCTTTGAACAATTAAGGCTTATAATTAGGACTGATCAAACACCTGCATCATGGAAAAGCTAAGATATATTATGATACTCAAAATTATTCTCATTTTCTTTTTGAGCTACAAATAAAAAAGAAAAGAAATTTTTTTACCTATGTTTTTAAAGTTATTATTTTGCCACTAGCTATCTTTTTTCTTTGCTGTAGTATTACGCATTTCTTGGGACACGTTATAACTTGTTTTCATGTCCACTTTACAATTTTTGGCATATTTCATACAATTATTGGAAAAAATCCTGTGGCAGAATTTTTTCAGGCTTTCTCCGACCAACTTCCCTGACACTAATATTTTGCCTTAAGATACTTTTAATTATAACAATTATTAATTTAAAGTAACAGAAACATTGTGCTTTCAGTTAAGAAATTATGGCACAAAAATATATAAAAAAATTTAGTTGTAAAAATATTTTTTTAATTCTAATAAAATAGGCGGTATTCTCGCATTTTGTATGCGGAAAAATGACTAAGTATTTCCTCTTTCAAATTTCGTAAATCATTACACAAATTCAAATTTGTACATAAATTAAAAATCACAAAATCTGTACATTAACTCCTAAATTATAGATCAAGATTAACGCAAATAGGACTCTTTTAAAAAAGAGATACTCAAATAAGTGTATGTAAAATATGGTGTTCTTCAAAGAAAAAAATAATGAAAGAAAGATCATCATTTCAAGAGCGAAAGGATCCTTCAAAACTTCTCCATTTCTGAATTTTTTATTTTATATCATTAATTTGAAATTCCAGCTGAAGCCAGTAGTTACCGATTTTTTTTTAAAATCTCAAATGACAATAGAAAAATTATGATTATTTCTTTTTGCTCTGATGCTCAAGAAAGACATCTTTAAAAAAAATTCTTCAGAGGAGGAAATTCTGCATTTTTCAAAAAATTATGCAGAAAGGAAACTCAAATGCAGGTTAGTTCCATAAAAAAGTCCCCCACAAAGCAAATTTCTCCCAATACTTGATCCAGGAGTTCCCTTGTCTTCTGGATTGGGTTCAAAATTAAAAGACTACAAAGTTGAACATCAGTAGTTGTAAATCCAAAATTAGGTCGGTTAGTAAAATATCTGTTATTTTATTTCTCCAATGTTGGCAGGTATGCATGACCAGTTTGTTATAATAAAACCTTTTTTTAATTTGTAAATATCGAGCAAATATTTAGTTCAAGAAATACTACAAAATTATCAAATACTTACATTTGTGTTGAGTATTTATTGCTCTTTTATTTCCTCTAAGAAACTGTATGTTGAAAATATGTTCCCTTCCTTTGAAATAACATCAATGTTTCAAGAGTGTACATCTGCATGTGAAAATGTGACAGAATGAAAGTGAAATCTATTATTTGTAATGGTTTGTTTGAATATTAGCTTTACATGATTTTAAATACATGATTCTTGCTAATGTTCAGTCGTAGCTACAGAGACATTTTTATTGCTTCCCTTAACAGACTTGTGAAGTCTCATTAAATTTCAGTTTTGCACTAATTAAATTTGAAAAATTAGTTGCATTAGAACCTTATTTCTTTAGTAGTTAAAAGTAGGGATGTAACAAATAGTGATTTAGTCAAATACCGAACATTCCGCTAAAAAAAAATCAGTCGAATAGCAACTTTTTTTTTATTTTAAATCATTCAAAAATAATTTTTTTATAGAAATAAGTTTCGTCATTATTAAAATATAATCAAAACTTAGCTGCAATATAAAGGGAAAAAAACTTCAATCTAAATATTTAAGATAATAAAAATAATTAGAAATATTTAAGATAAGAAAAACTAACAGCTATTAAAAAAAAGAAACTAAACTTCTAATATTGAAAAAAAAAATGAAATAGAAAAAAAAAATATCCTTTAATTCTTAAAACAAAACTTAAATGTCAAAAATATTTTCCAGAAAAAAATTATTAAGAAAATAATAAAAGAGAAAATGTTGATCAAAAAAGCTTTTAAAAATACAGCGCTATTATAAAAATGCCTATAAAAAAGGAAGACTATATACAAAAGCAAAACAGAAGAAATAAAAATTGAACTTAATTTTTTAAAGGAAATTTTAAAGCTAAAAAATTTTTTTCCAATTACCATATTTTCAGGAAAAATTGAAGACTAAAGTCTAATAGAAAGCCTCTTAATTGCCGCTTCATTATAAAAACATAAGTTTTTTGTAAAAGAAAAAGCTAACTCGAAACCGAAACAAATATCGTTCTTAGTTTTTAAACAAAGAATTTAATGATGAAATCTTAATTCAACTTTTTCACATTGCTGTATTTTTATTTTATAACCGTCCTCGAACACCCAACCCAATTTTGAGTTTACGACTACAAATGTTCAACTCCGTAGCCTTGTGATATTGAACCAATCCAGTAGATAAAGAAACTCCTGGATCAGTACCCCCAGAGGTATGATTTGTCATGGGAACATGGAGGACATTGTGACTCAACAGATTTAATGTGCATCGGTTACCATTTGCTACACAGGGAGTCTTCGACCAGCGGAGATTGAAGCTATGACCTCTTGGACATGGGGCCTGCTTTACCACCCAGGGTATCCCGGTTTCTGTTGTATTTCTAGAAAAATATACCATAAATGTTTTTGTTGCAATTAATGAAAAGAATTGGCGATCAAAGATAAATCGGAAGTTGTTATGGAGAAATGTTCAGAGGAAGTCATTGGCCCACATTGGGCTGCCTAGCCAACTATGATGATTATAATAACTTGCTCATTTATGTGTTTGTTTTATATTAAACATGCATATCATGTATGTTATAAGAAAATTTGTTCCTGGGCGATAAAATGGTATATTTTCCTCATTCTTCTAAAGCTCAAAGTCTTAACCGAAGCCATTGATAGTCGTAAACCTAAAATTGGGTCAGCTGTCCAACGACAGTTATAAAATACAAAAATCAATAAATAAAAATAATTGATTGATAAGTGTCTGTTTAAATAGTTTAACTTTTTTTTATAGTTGAACCTTTGTTCTACAGTATGAATTTACTTATGATGGGAAAATGCCACCTGAAGATGAATAACAAAGATGAAGCTACAAAATTTCTAAAAATGGTTTTAGAGTATCCAGTCAAAACACCAGATGATCAAAAAGTGAGATGTTATTTTAATGCAATAATTGATTACCTTACATTTCATTAGGGAATTTATGAAAACAGAGTGCGTGGCTAGATTTTTCAACGAAAAATAAGTACTTTTTAAGCACTCAAAAAATATTTTTAATCACTTTCCAAAAAAAATCATAATTAGGATCTGTGCAGTAATAAATTTTTTTTTTTCTAATCGTTTAAAGTTCTTAATTTATAAATATAAAATCAATAAAATTCAAAAACATTTTCCAAAGTTTTGCGTAATTATGATAAAATAACTAGCTTCTGATAAATATTGCAGAGAAAATTGGTAAAATCATGCTTTTTTGGTAATTGAGAACGACAATCGTCATGGCAAAGAAAAGAAAAAATCTCTTATTAAAAAATAGAAAATTAAGCACTTTTTACAAACCCCGAATAAAAAAAAAGGACCTTTAAAAGCTTTTAAAAAACGTAAATCAAAAATAAGCACCTTCAAGCACTTTTCAAAAATACTATGCACCTTGAAGGACACATGCTTTTTTTTTTAAATGTGCCTACAGAAATAATATCAATTATAAGAATTATCGAAATAATAATAATTAGGAGAAATTTATTTGCAGAAAATGTGCAATGGAAACACCCTGTATATGGAAAAAATGAATTAAATGAATGAATGAATGAGCAATGAATTAAAAATTCTTATTCTCTGTGTTTGTCGTACATAAAAATTGCCAATATACAATTTTGTTAAATTAAAATATAGTTTTTTTTTACTTTATTTCTTTCCTAACATCTATATTTCATACATTCAATCAAGAAACATAAAGTCCGGTTACTTGACCAGGTATGGTAGAAATAGGTATATATTTAAGTGTTGGTATGTTTAGTGTTAACATGATTGACTACAAACTGGTGACTTTTTTTTATATTTCCCCCCTGTTATTTGCACTGTAAATTAATCATATAACTGCTCTTTGCCATGCATAGACATAACTCAGCTTCTATTTAAGATAGTAAAAAACCAATTTTTATTCAATTTGTTAATGAATCTTCTTTCAAAAAGTTTTGATCTGTAACATTAATTTAATTAAACATTAATTTGATTAAGCCTTAATATTAATTTAACTTTAATATATATACAAAATATTCAATAGATTAATTATAATTCTCGCCAATTTCTTCTACATTCATAAAAGTAACTCTATAATTTTTATTAAATTTATTCTTTCTGCAGGTAATAAATATAAAACCATTCACAAAATATTCAAACTTTCTTGACCTTTCAAACACCTCATTGAATATATTCATGCCAGAGCATGCTTATGAAATAAGATGAATAACGCTTTAAAAAAAAATTTAATAATTTAGTTGGTGATTGTCTGATCATTTTAAGATACATTCTAAATGATTCAAGATCTAGACTTTAAGAATAAACAATAATTATTACAGATATCATTTTAAGTTATGATATCACCCGCAAAAATGTCTGTTTAAATTACTTAAATCTATACGCATTAATATCTGAATTATAAATTTTAAAAAATTTTGTATTTTGAAAAAATTTCTCTTCTTGAAAAGTTTTTTGCAGTTTTTATTTTTCAACTGTGGAAATACCTGTTTTACAAGTTGCACACTTTTTTTTAACGAATCAATAGCTTTATTTTGTTATAATATAATTAGAAAAGAAATTTAAAATACTTGAAAGGGATTCTTAAATTTTTAAAAATGGCTGAATAATTCTAATTATTTCTGCAACACAGGAAACTTATGTTTTAGACCTTTACTCCAACATTAAAACCATGCATATTTAAATTAAAAATCATATGTTTATTTCATTTGTTTGTAAAATAAAAAATTTTGAGTGAACAAATGTTTTAATTGTAATAAACCAACATCCATAGCTGCCAACTCTACTGGATTTTTCCAGTTTCTCCTTGCCTACTGGTTTAATAAAAATTCTCCTGATTTTCGTACATTTTAGATAAATCTCTAAAATTGAGGAAGTTTACTAAAAAATCCCTATTGAAAAAGAAATTTTGCACAGATTATTGCTTGTTTGAGTAGTAAAATAAGTATTATATATAATAAAGCTAGCCTTATTTATAAGAATCAGTTTAAAATTGTTTTTGTCCTAAAATGTTCAGTTTATTTTTATTCAGAACTCCCTTTTTAAATTAATAGAGTATGATAATGGTAAATGAAAATATTTAAACTATCTTTGATGAATTAAATGCCTACGACTATTCAAAATTATCAGTTAACATAAATACATAACATTTCAAGTTCATTTGATGTCCATCATAACTGGAAAAATATTGCAGTTTTTCTATTTTGATTGACTATAAAAATCCCTAAAATTCCCTTTGTGTAAAATATTTATTACATTATGCAACAATTATCATGAAATTTATATTATTTTATAAAATCTACTGGATTTTTTTCTCTGCAAGTTGGCAACTATGAACATTATCATCATTCACAGACAACGTCTGTCTGATTGACAAATGTTTGTTTATTTGCTGTATTCTTATTACCCATTGGCAAAATGGGTGTTGTTTTGAATTTAATGGCGTGCTCACCGTACTTGGATATCATCACAATTTTCGACTATGTTCAAGAGTAATAGTAAACAGTGCACATGCGTTGCTATGGTCACAGCTGCTGTTTGATAATTTTTTTAGAATTCTTTTTTTCACTTTTAATTATGTTATGTGTTAAGTTGGTGAGTTTATTTTTGAGGTAGGGAACCAGAGAGATCCCATAAATACTTGAGTTGTGAATAAAGGCGTAACTATAAACAAACCAAACACGCAGTTTCAAGTAGCTTTAGAAAAATTTGGTGACATAATCCGCAAATCCAATCATGTTTTTTTTTAAATTTAGAATTCTTATTTAATCTCTGCTGTCCAAGACTAATGTTACGACTGTCAACAGTTTTATAAAACCTAGCTGTAACTGAATGTCAATATTACTTAGTGAAATTATTTTACCTTTTATTTTGATTAGTTATTGTTTGATATTTGGTATACCACACAGACTGCATACAAGAGTGTGATTCATTTAAAATATTTCCAAGTTTCTTGACCAAATATTGATAAGCATAAAAAAATATCAGCATTCCGCATTTGAATTGCTCAAATCATTAGATGTTGGTAAAAGCTATATTTTTTTTAATTATGTTGTTTCATTCTCTTTTACATGCAAAGAAAACTTTGCATTGTTTCAATTCTACCAGCACAAAGAAAACTTAACCATGCAATATTACATTTGTTTTTTCATTACAGGCACGAGAAGAGGCTGAGAAACTTTTGAAGACATTATAAAAAAAAATAATTTATTCTATCAATTGTTTATTTTATCTCTATTTTCTTAAGAACATATTTATATTTTATATAAAGTTTATAATTTTATGCTTATGCATACTGATAAATACTTTTTATTAATCTTTTTTTTAATATCAAACTTTTGACGACATTATAAAAAAATTGTATTACTTCAATTGTTTATTTTATAAAGAAGATATTTTGATATTTATATTTTATATGAATTTTATGCTTATACATACAAATAAATATTTTTTCTCAATATTTTTTTTAATATTGAACCTTTTTAACACACTTAAGATTTTTGTGCTAGCGCATACTTTTAGGTAGTTTAGCTAGCTCACAAATTACTTTGAATAAGTTAAACAGGGTGGATAGCCAAGTCTTTCAACAAAAAATAAGCGCCTTTTAAATATTCTTAAGCACTCAAAAAATATTTTTAAGGGCTATATATATTAACAAAATACAAAATAATTTTCAAAGACTTTACATGATCATGATAAAATAAATAGTTTCTGACAAAGAACTCATTTTCTTGATTATAACTAATCATTATAAAATGATCAAGAGATTTTTCGATTCGATATCAGAGGGTGGGAAATGAAACCTAAAATTTAGAATATCTTGGAAAATGCAGCAGAGTTGAATGTGAGAGTGCAATAATCTCATGAAATCCAGCTTAGTAGATGCACGTGCGGACTCGTAAATATTTCATCAAACATGTAAAATTATTGGTGGTTTCATACGCTAACGAACGATACACAAAAATAGATTTTGGTAGAATGGATTGTGAAAATGTTGAATAGAACAATGTGAAAAGCATGTTTTCACATAATACAAGGAGATAATCAACATTCCTTTTTCAAAAATGAGACAAAACATATACCTTTCATCAACAAAAAATAAGCACCTTTAAAGTACTTTTTAAGCACTATATACATTGATAAAATGCAAAATAATTTTCAAAGACTTTACATGATCATGATAATATAACTAGTTTTTGACAATGAACTCTTTTCTTGATTATATTAGCCACCATAAAAAGATTTTTCAATTCGATTTCAGAGGGTAGAAAATAAAGCCTGAAATTCAGAATATGTAGCAAAATGCAGCAGAGTGGCACATGAGAGTACAAGAATCTCACCAAACTCAGCTCATGTAGTCACCGCCAAGTATTTCATCAAACATGTAACATGATTGGATGTGTTACGGACTGATGGCACACTGAAATGGAATGTTGTTGAATAAATTGTGAAAACATTGAATAGAACAATGTGAAAAACACGCTTATGCATAATACGTAGTGAAAAGCAATAAGGTAAAGAAATAAATCTCATTTTCGAAAATTAAAAACCCCCCATGACAAAAGCACCTTTAAAAATCGAAAATAGACACCTTTGAACACACTACACACCATGTTAAATAAATGTTTACTGTCAGTACTACAAAGAATAGAAAAAAAAACTATATTATGTTCTGTAATGGGAGAAAAAAAACTTAGGTTAATGTGGAAATTTTAAAGCTAAATTTTGAATAGAAATAGAGAAATAATAACTGAGCTGACAAGACTATCTGTTCATACACTGAATTAGTTTTGAGGAGTAGAAAAATTACAATGCACATTTGCAGTATCCCAAAAGTTTTAATCGTATTTGGGATCAAACGCATAGTTAAAGGCTATTTTTTTTCAAGGTTTCTTTTGTTACTTAAATTTATTTTGTTACGTTTTTAAAAAAACATGAATTGTAAGTTAAAATTTTGTTCATAAATATAGCCAGAACCTGGTCTGCTATTAAAGAAAAAGAAATTAAGAAAACCACAGAAAAAAAAAATTTTTTTTTAATGTATGTGATATTTTTCTTTTTTTTTAAATATTTAAAACGTTACTTTATTGCATTGTTCATATTTTTGAAAAATGTTAAAACTGAACATTTTTTTATTGATTTCACTAATTTTCATTTAGGTGTTTCAGTTAGGAAATTCAAAAATTCCAAATTAGGAATTTTTTAAAATTAGAATACAAATTTCTGGAAAATATTTTCTTTTTAACAGTTTCTTGTTCCAGATGTTTTTTTTTTTACCTCTAACTATATTTGCAATTCAATGTTACTTATATGATTTTGGTTCTTAATTACAAACAGGATGTATGATGACTACGTAACTGATGTCACTAATATAAACTATGTTTTTTTTGGGGGGGGGCAAAACATAGCTTTCACCTATTATTTATACTCGTGTGTAGTTTTAAATCTGCATGTAAACCTTTTGCCTAATATTTTTTTTTAACAAAATACAATACTTTACACATTTTCTATCAAAACGTGTCATTGCTTACTAAAGAAAGAATTTCTGAAAAAATTATTTTATTTTATAACTGTTGTTGAAAAGCTGATCCAAATTTTTGGATTTACGACACTAACATTCAACTACGTAGTCTTGTAATTTTGAACCAATCCTGAAGACAAGGAAACTCCTGGATCGATAATCCCAGAGGTATGATTGTTACGGAAACATGAAGGACTTTGTGACAGATTTAAGGTGCATCAGTCACTATTTACTACACAGGGAGTCTTCGGCTGGTGAGGATCGAACTCACAACCTCTTGTACATGGACCCAGTGCCCTTTCCAACCAGGCTATCCCGGCCATAATTTAATTTATACTAAAATTTAATCTGACTTTTCTTGGAAAAGTCAGATAATTTTATTTCTAAAATTGAAAAGGTAGTTACATTTTTTCCCCTCAGATAAAGAATGTTTTAAAAAATAGCTTAAGAAAACTGTGGGGTTTAAAGTGGTTCAGGAAAAAAAACTATTGTCCAATAAAACCTCTTGTAATCAATAAAAAAAGGTTTAATCACAGTTGAATATACACCTTGATTGGTTTTTAAAAAAATAGCATAAAAAAACTGTGGAGTTAAAAGTGGTTCAACCTCCTGATATAAGAAAAAAAACACATTGTCAAAAAAAACTCTTGTAATCAATGAAAAAAGATTTAATCACAATTGAAGATACACCTTGATCACTATTATTAGATCTTTAAAAAAAATAGCCGTTAGAAAACTGTGAGGTTAAAAGTGGTTCAAGAAAAAATCATGTCAAATAAACACTCTTGTAATCAATAAAAAAAAGGTTTAATCACAATTGAGTATACACCTTGATCACTATTATTAGATTTTTAAAAAATAGCATAAAAAAACTGTGGGGTTAGTAGTTCAACCTTCTGATATAAGAAAAAAAACATTGTCAAATAAAAACTCTTGTAATCAATAAAAAAAGGTTTAATCACAATTGAATATACACCTTGATCACTATTATTTGAGATGATTGATTTTTTCTTCATATGGCAACTAGTAACTGAGTTGAAAACTGTTAGTGAGATTAAAACAACAAATCACTGTGAACTAGAAATCATATAAAATCTTTTGATAGCCTCCACAATTTCAGCTTTCTTAGATGCACAACGTATACCATTCTGCCTGCAGAATTCCTTCAATACACTCACTGTGTATCGTAGTAGCTAAAAGAAAGAAGAAGTATTTGAATGAAGGTAATTAAAAAGTAGATTTTTTCAATTGAAAACAAAGCATTTTTGCAATTTTAATTATTTTCCTCTTGCAGTATAAATAAATAAGAAGGACTATAGGTTTAGTGTGAGGGGTGGTACACATTTTATTTTTAGAAAACTCTTTGTTTATTTTAAGTGTTATGTATATATGCATTTTTATTTTTTTATATGTATGCACATTTTTATATAAATGTATGCATAAAACTTAAGATTGATAAACTGTTTTCTAAAAACAAAATGTGTGTCCCCCTTACGCAACGCCGATGAGAATAACTATACATCGTTATTAAAATTTGAAAAGGGGAATATTGAATTTCCAAAAATTATGTTATGTTATGGGTGTTTATATTGTATATAATTAGTGAACCTATATTTATAGATCTAATTAGTGGGCCTATGTAATTAACAGAGGCTGAAAAAATTATTAAATTTTGGGATTTTTACCAGAATTATTTATTAAAATTTGAAAAATTATAAAAACATGTTATAAAATATTACTTGTCCAGTAGCTGCTTCATGTTGTAAGTTACTTGGTATGACATCATCCATTCTGGCCCTTTTACAAGCAGGTGCACCATATGCAGGACCAGCCTATAAATATATGACATATTTAATTAAACACTACATAGTTAGTTTTAATCATGGTTATTAAAGAATTAAAAAAATGTAAGACATTGATATAAAAGAGCATATTCATAAGTTAATGACGACTCAAAATAGTATAAAATTTGACCCACTTAGTACTTAGAGTTCTTATATACAACCAAATGTTCGTAAATTATGACATATAGGCAACAAAGAATAAATGACAAACAAAGAAAGTACACAACTGCAAAATTCTGGTTAATGGGTTTGGGATTTATAAAAGCCAAGCTTGAGGACCTCATGTGGCTTAAAATTAAAACAGGTTTAGAAAAGGCAATTGTATGAATCAGGGTGCGTAGCGTTTGTAAAAAGTACTTAAAGGTGCTTTTTTAGGGATTTCGTTTTTAAAAGCTTTTAAAGGTGCATTTTTCAGCTGGCGATTTAAAAAGTGCTTTTTTTCCCGAATAATTTTTTTTCCCTTCAGTGATATCTGGTGGATTCCATGCATTTCACGAAAAATGGGGTGTTTGGCTACATAATCATTCACGCGGACTTCATGTCATATCCACGTTATGACTTGCGCATGCACGCACATTTCAAATCGAAACCCGAGTGCTCCAATTCGGATGGAGAATATCAGATCCTTATGAAATGTTTTTCTTTTTAATTTATGTTAAGTTTATTATTGTTTATTTTATTTTACTTCTATCACTTTTTTGTCGTAGGGGGTACGGGTACTTTTGTTCTGAGTTCAGGGTCAAGTTGAATTCACTCGATGATGTGGGAAAGTACTGATTGTTTCGATTTACGTCTGTTTCTTTTCAGGGTTTTTTCTAACGCTAAAACTGTTTTTTATAAAAAGTTTTTGTTTTTCAATGATATCACTGATTGAATATGAATTTTTTGAGTGCTTGAAAATTTTTGTAAAGTGCTTGAAAAGTTTTTAAAAAGTGCTTATTTTTGATTCAAAGATTTGGCTATGCACCCTGTGAATAACTTTATTGTACAGTTGGAAAATTTATTTGAAAGAAATAACACAATAAACTAAATAATTGAACAGTACCATTCCGAATTTTTGAGAAATACAAGGATCAGGAGCACCAGGACAAAGTAATGTTTTGAATTCTTCAATCAGTCTTCCAGCTCTTTTCTCAATCACATCTTTGGTGGGCACTAAAAAAAAACACTTCAATTTTTATAATAATAAGCATAAAATAATTCAAGGTTGTATTGCATCCCGAGAAACATTTAATCTTTTCTAAATTACAATTTTTTTTTCATTTTTGTGATTTCATTGAGTGCTAGATTTAAATTTTGTTCAGTGACACTGATTAACCCATACCTGCCAACATTGGAGAAACAAAATAATGTAGATTTTACTAGCGACATTTTTTAGGCTACGAGTAAAGTTATGATACATGAAGAAAGTCAAAAAGAGAAATTTAAAATTGGAAATAATATAGGCACTTATATTTAGAGACGAAAAAAATATCCATGGAAATTTTAATGTAACAAAGATTTTTTTGAAATCATTATTTATAATTACTTTAACTATTAACAATCAACATACTGCATTATCTGTCGACAAATACAATAAGTATTTTTGCCATCAACAGATATTTTATTGCCAAAATTTTTATTTTCAAATTTCTTTATCAAATGCGAAGAAATTAGAGAATATACGGGTAAACAGGAGATAGTCGTAAAATACAGGAGTCTTTGTTAAAAAACAGAATACTTGGCAGGTATGTTAACCCAATCTTAACAGACAGAATTCCCCTCACACGTCAAGAATTCCTGTTCTAGAGTAAATGATTGGTGAAGATTGGACAATGAGATTTCTTATTTGTGCCCAATCAAGGAACTAAGATCTATTGCTATGGTGACCTATTGTTACACTTATCAATTTACACGAAATACATCTGGAATTTATTTGTAATTAAGTTTGATTATCGGATTAAACCAGTAAAGTGTTAAGAGCGAACCAGATTCGATTTTATAATCTAGTGCGAAAGACAACGTTTTAGCACTCATGAACCAGAGTTACCAAAAGTGTCATGAACGGATCATATTCTGCAAAGAAGTGCAAAAAAAAAAACGTTAGTTTCTGCGTTGGAGTTCATTTTCTCAAAAGAGGGCACAAATAAATTTTTTGAATGCAGATTATGACCAAAAATTTAACCCCATTGATAGGAATTCTGCATCTGACTCGCACCGACCACAGAATTTGTGTGAAATATCCCCATTGGTAGGATCATGGGTTAGATCCCCTGTTACTGTCGGGTATGCAGGTTTAATATAAATGCGGGTTTGTTCCATCAAAAGGTCCTTTACGAATGCTTCTCCTAATGTTTGATCCAAGAGTTCCTATTTCTTTCGGGTTGGGTTCAAAATTACAAGGCTACAGAGTTGAACATAGATAGGCGTAAACTCAAATTCGGGTCAGTTATTCAACGCGGGTATATTTATATACATAAAAAAATACTACAGTATGCTCAGGAGATAGAATACTTATCTCCCGAGGAAGTGACCCAGGCTTGAATCCCAGCGGTTCCTGGTTGATACGAATTCTGCTTACAGCTTGCATCGACCGCAGTGCTGACATGAATTAACCTCAGTTGTAGATGGATCATAGGTTACTCCCCTTGCCGTTAGTTTAACTGGGCGAAACTTTCCCTCCTATGTAAAGCAAGTAAATTACAGTCGAACATCGGTTTAACGAAACCCTATTTAATGAATTTTTTTAAGTTAATGCAGTAGATTTACAGGAAACGACGAATAGCAACTCTGGCACAAAAGTCGATGATAATGAATCTCCAGTGAAAACTGTTACTTTTTCTGATGCTTCGCACGTTTGGAAACAGTGAAAACTTACCTAATGCATCAAGATGTAAATAAAGGAGTATTTTCTTCTCTTCATAACGTTGAAAAAGAAACTTTTTAAAGTAAGAAATCAAGGAAATAAGCAAACCTTACTCACGGAATGCTTTAAAATTTCAAATGAATCAGCGTGTAATCATTCACTGTATTTTAGATTCCTGATTAAAAAGAGTAGGATTTCTATTTATTTTGTGTACTTGCTTATTAGAAATGTTAGGATATTCCATAAGGTAAGTCAATTTTTTTTGCCACTGTTATTACGAATTATCCTTGATTTAGCGAATTATATTTTTGATCCATATGAATTTGTTAAATCGGGGTCTGACTGTAGTTCCATCAAAAAGTCCTCCACAAAGGTTAGTTAGACCCCATACTTGATCCAACGGGTTTTCTTGTCTTCTAGGTAGGCTACAAAGCTGAACATCGATAGTTGTAAACTCAGAATTTTGTCAACTGTTCAACGCTGGTTATAAAATATTACAGTATGCCCATCGTTTACAGATCTTCACCATGCCGAAATTTTTTATCCTACTGTCCCATTTGACACAAGAAAAATGCTTGAAAAATCTTTAAACTTGATGTAATTAACAATTTAAAAGAACAGCTAAAAAGAGGCATTGAACTTACAATCTTCTAGAAATAACAACGGAATTAATCTTATTCAGCCACACCCCTAAAATAGAAGTGACTAGTGATTGACTAGTTTCACGAGATACACCGTAAATGGTAATAATAATCTAGTAAAAATTAGTAGTTTTATCCACCTACCCAGTTCTATACAATTCTCCCCCTTATAATGTTTGATACATGAGTTACCACAGAAAAAAAAGGGAACAAAATAGTTGCTTTTAGTAGCCTAATGCATGAAAATAAATGCCTAAATAAGAACAAAAGTTCATCAAGAATATGACTAAGAGTTTATTAAATAACAAGAATTTTTCATGACTTACTATGAAGTTACTATTTTCTCCGACGAAAACACAATAAATTTAAAAAAACATAATAACAGAAATTGAAATTATAGGTATAACCAAAACTGTTATGCTCTGCATCTTCATATTTATAGATTTTAAATTTAAAAAATAGAGTAAAGAAAGAGCTGAAGCAATAAAATAGCTGAAAAAAATGCAAAAGCAAAAAAAAAAAATTTTTCTGCAGAATTATATTCTAAAGATACTTTTCTTGCTCATCGGCGAGGAAAGAAATNAACAAAAGCTCATCAAGAATATGACTAAGAGTTTATTAAATGACAAGAATTTTTCATGACTTACTATGAAGCTACTATTTTCTCCGACAAAAACACAATAAATTTAAAAAAGCATTATAATAACAGAAATTTAAATTATAGGTATAACCAATACTGTTACACTCTGCATCTTTATGTTTATAGATTTTAAATTTAAAAAACAAAGCAAAGAAAGAGTTAAAGCAATAAAATAGCTGAAAAAATGGCAAAAGCAAAAATTTAATTTTTTCTGCAGAATTATATTCTAAAGATACTTTTCTTGTTCATCGGCGAGGAAAGAATTACTCCTGATTTTTCTGTTCTCATTTCGGAATAAAGAAAATTCGCCAATGACTGGCCTGCTTCAGCTAGAATTTTAAATTGATAAAATAATAAATAACAAAAATTCTGAAATCACAGAAGTTTAAAAGATAATTCGCTCTAGAAGTGATGTTATTTCTTTCATTTTTTAAAAGAAGATCATAAATTTTAAAGAACATGATAAAAATATTTTTTACTTTAATAAAATATGACTGTGAGTAGGGATTTTGTTACAAATTCAGATATTCGGAAAACAATGAAATTGGGGGAGGGTGGTAAATTCTATTTTAAAAATTAGATTTTTCAGCAACCTAAATCCATGACTTTTCATGATTTTTTTAAAAAAATTGTTAAAATCATAACATTTCATGACAAATTATTTTCAATACCCGAATTCATGATTTTTCATGACTTTCCAGGAGCGCATATTTAGTTATTCTTAGATATTTTCTTAAATTTACTATCTTTTAATACAACTCCGCCCTCTGGTAGCAAACCCTCAAGTTCTGATGCATTCTATTAGCCAGAAGTGTGAAATGTTAAGTGTCATGCCTGTTAAGTGTGAAAGTCATTTCGGTAAACAAACTTGAAAAAGCTTTTAAGGCTAATATTAAAAGAAGTTTAGAAATAACGTTTTATTTACATTTTCTTTCATTACTCAAAATCACTTAACCCACTAACGTGCAGAAAAATATTATTTTAATTTGCAGTCTTCTACGCATAGCAAAACCAGTTTTTACACATAATTAGATAAGGAATTTCAATTGTGTCTATTTGTTAAAATACCAGTGGGTAAAAGAAAAAAATTGCATGTTATCTTATTTATCCTTTTCTTCACTTACATTAAGACAATGATTTTTAAAATAAATAAAAAATAAGCAGTCAAAGTAATAATTTTAAGCATTTAATTTAAAGTATTGACTAAAATAAATCAAATTTCTAGACATAAAATTGTACAGTGCACAAAAAAAAATAAACAAACCAACTTTAATAACTTTTGATCTAATTATCGGATCTTCCCATTCTAGGACTCAATCTTAATGGTTTGAGGGGGTGACCTCAAATTTGCCAATCAATTAGTGCAGACAGTATTCTAAGTTAAGAAACCAGACACAGAAACGTACTTTCTCTGAATAAACATACCCTTTTTTCCCTACAGATTCGGCTTTCTGACCCCCAAAATATAGTGGTTAGCCATAATTTGGGAAATATGGTCCCAATAGTTTGGTCAGGAGAGAGGTCCAAAGTTTGGACCCCTTAATATTAATTTAATTTTTTAGCGTATTTCGCTACATCTCGGGAACTTTTTAAGCAAATTGAAGAGGCACACAATTTTTTTTCATCATTTAAAAGTGCATAACTTTAAATGACAAAACTCAACCGAAATCTGTTGAATAGTTCCTGAGAAATTGAATTTTTACTACACAACTTTTTAAAAATTAAATTACTCAGGAACTAGTTGACAGATTTCCTTTAAACACAGTAACTTACCATGCTAAATTACAAATTTCAATATGATGCAAAAAATTTCCTCCCTTACAATTCAAATTTTTTTTGACAAACTTTTGGGACCCTATATTTTGGGGGTCCGAAATCCGAATCCATTGAAAAAAGTATGTTTATTCAAAGAAAGCACGTTTTCGAATCACATTTCGTAACTTAAAAATATTGCCCGCACTAATCAATTAGCATATTTGAGTTAACTCCCTTAAGATTGAGTCCTAGAATGCGAAGATCCAATCATTAGATTAAAAGTTATTCTGAGTGGTCCACTTTTTTGGTGCACTATACATCAATGATATGCACATGTATAATCAAATGATTGAAATCTCACATGTATAATCAATAATTTCATCAGGAGCATCCCGATTAAGTGCAAGTGCTTCTATGTTTCTCCAATGCTTTTGAAGAACTGAAATTAAAAAATAGTTTCTTATCATTGATACACACAAAAAAAAAATAATAATAATAATAGTAACAACCAATACAATACAATTTGAGGCTAGAAAAGCAAACCTGCAAGATGGTTACTAGCTTAGTAAAATATGTGCATATAAAAGTAACATATATTAAAGAATATGAAACACTGAATTTTTGTTCTTCACCTTAGAAGAAGCCAAAAGTGTTGCTCATTTAACGTTACCCAGTAAACATTCATACATCACACAGCAGAGAACAACACACAGAGAGGGAAACATCCATGCCCTGAGTGTGATTCAAACCTGTAGCCACTGGCTTCACAGTCAGACACGCTGACTGCTCGGCCACGTGGAATCATAGATATTGAAAGAGATATTCTCAGAAGTTATTTTAGACTCTTTGTGAAATTCAGCACATAATTTTGAGAAAATGGGACCCTGATATTGAAACAACCACACACAAAAAAAAAACAGTAGTCTGTTCAACTTTTTTTTTGTAAACTTATGAAAAATCAACTTATTTTGGGAAGAAGAATAAAAAGTGGCTTTTCAAAATATGAATTTTAAACAGGAATTTTTATTATAAGGTTTTAAATACTGAATTTAAGATATCACTGGTTCCGTTTTAAAAAAGTTTTGTGAAGGGATCCATTCATTCATCCACAGATCGTAATTTTGATCTGAACCAGAGAACGATCAATCTTCAATTCATTACTCCCAGAGGTATCGACCAGCTACAGCTGGTCGATACGAATTCTGCATCTGGTTTGCACCGACCACAGTGCTGACGTGAAATATCCTCAGCGGTAGACGGATTATGGGTTAGAGTCCCCTTGCCTTCAGTCTGACAGTGGGAAGTTCTGGTGGTCTTCTTCTCCATGTAACACAAAAGCTGGTTAGTTGCATCTACAGGTCCTCCACAAAGGGAAATTTCTCGCAATACTTGATCCAGGAGTTCCCTTGTCTTCTGGATTGAGTTCAAAATTACAAGATTCAGGAGTTGCACATTAGTAGTCGTAAACTCCAGGTTGGGTCGGCTGTACAACGAGGGTTATAAAGTAAAATACATGTCTACAAAACTTCATTTTGTTTTCTCAAACAAGTGAAAAGCTTTGTACTTTTAATTATAATGCGCAAATCGCACATTAAAATTAAATAAGCCTATCAATTAATTAAGCCTATCAAATTATTTAAATAATGAAGTCTATCAAAATATTAAGATATTTTCATACTACTCTATGACTAATATTAAAACTAATTTAATAACCTGGATTCTCAAAAGACTCTGGATGATAAGCAAACTGTAACTTCTTAATAATTTCTTTAGATTTCTCAACTAATCCCTCAGAAGGTGCTGCGTGCTTGGTGTCACATTTAATGGTACGAATATCTTCCATGAAAGGAAGGTAAACAATATGAAATCCTGGTGGGACCATCTGATTGCCATGATCATCCGTTTGCTCTTCCTAAAAATAAATCAAGAAAATGCTTAAAAAGAGAATATTTTTTAATTTACACGAGGATATTCAATAATAACTTTTAGTACAGTAAAACCTTGCTACAACAATATTTTGTGGACCAAATTGAATTGAATTGAATGTAGGGTTTAGTGGCACAAAGTCCAAAAAAAGGACATACTGCGCCAAACACTTGATTTTAAAAACAGATTATAAGGTAAAGTAAAGCACATGAATAAAATCAGATAAGATATTGAAAATTCTCAAACAATGTTGTAAAGTTACATACATTAAAATCAATGAAATTTCATGGTAAATTTACTAAAATGGTAAAAGGTATAAAACAATTATATGCAACTTAAAATTCCAATAGCGCGTAAAAATGTAAAGATGTTAGGATGGTGATTTTCATCTAACAAATCTTTTATACATAAAATAGTGCTCCCAAACAAGATAAGGCGATGTTGGTAAAAACATGGGCAAGTGATTAAAATATGACGAATTGAAAGTAAAACGTTACGAGTATCGCATCGAGGAGACGGTTCTCCAAACAGCAAATGTTGATGAGTCAGCCGAGTATGTCCTATACGTAGGTGGGTGAGCTTGACATCTGCTGCAACACAGACCAAGGCTCTAAACTGGATTTAATAGTATGCAGTTTGTTCTCAATTTGTAAATCCCAGTGTTGCTGCCACAAAGACATGGTAAAATGTCGTACATAATTCTTCATGTCGGAAATTTTCGTGGACCAAATAAATATATTGCGGTAGAGGGATACATTGTTATATCGAGGGCCTACATACTTTGGGGACACAATAAGATTTTTGTTTTAATTTTAATGTTATATATGTATTAACTATATATGTATTTATATATTATGCAAAAAATTAATTTGCTGAGTGCTAATTATGGTTAAATATTAAAAAAACAATTGAAATAAGTTCAAAAAATATGATCGTAAACATGCCTGAAAACAATTTTTATTGAAAATAATCTGATATTTTTGTCTGTTTATTTATATTTTCTTTTTACTGTCAAGTCAACCAACAAAGTATGCATTGAAGCCAAAGTACGAAAATGTTTTTTGTTAGTGAAAGGAGCTCCACCCACTTTCTACAGAAAAAAATTCTCTTTCAGGTGTTAATGTGATGCTTGTGGCCATTTGTGACTCATGATCAGCTTTTAACATGAAGGAAATGAAATCAGATAGGAATGTTACATATGTGACTTCCTAAGAGATTAAAGGAGGCAATTTTAAAAATGGAAGCTCTTGGGGTGGTCAGCAGTGAGTCTTCTCTTGTCAGAAAGGATGGAAAAANAAAATGATTTTCGTTTGTGAATGGTGCTCCACCCACTCTCTACAGAAAAAAATTCTCTTTCAGGTGTTAATGTGATGCTTGTGGTCATTTCTGACTCATGATCAGCTTTTAACATGAAGGGAAGTGAAATCAGATAGGAATGTTACATATGTGACTTCTTAAAAGATTAAAGGAGGCAATTCTAATAATGTTGGGGTGGTCAGCAGTGAGTCTTCTCTTGTCAGAAAGGATGGAAAAAATAGCAAAAGATGATCAAATAAAATTTTCTACATTATTTGAAAACCAATAATAAATTGAGAAATTCAGAAAAAAATTATTTTACAGGGGTTTATTGCTTCAGAGTATATCATACTATTGAGAGGAGCATGACATGAATTCATATGCAAGTTCATCAGGACCACAGAACATTATAGTAATAAAGGGAGTTATTGTTGTATTGGATATCGCAGTGGAGAGAATTCACTGTATTTTTAAAACTTAAATTTATTTATTTTTTTAGAAACAATACCATTCTAACAGAATAACAATTATTGATATAATTTTAAACAAATTATTTTTCTTTGGGTGCTGAACTGATTACTTAAATAACTGAAGCGAATTATTTATGTTTCAGATTTGAAGTGATCAGTGCTCATTGTTCAATCAGAACAATGAGCACTAATGAACTAGCAAATTTAAACAAATTTTCTCAAAGTGCTGAATAATTAGCAATATAACAGAAAATAAATTATTGACTTTTGTAGATTTGAATAGCTGAAGTTATTTTTCAATTTTTGTATCATTGCATGCAAATAGTTTTTATTTGGGGAGAAATTTCCTCTGTTAATTTAAACTAGTTAATTTTTCCATGAGAAATTGATGATTTTGTAATGAGATTACAAACAGATTACATTTTTAATTTGAATATTTGAGTTAGATAACTGAGTTGTTTTTCAAAATTTTATATGTAACTTTTAAAAAAATGAAGCTACTAAACAAATAACGAAAATAATTCATTTATTATAACATAATTTATTTATAAAATGATTTCTATAATGCTGATTTAAATTATTTAATCAAGGTATTTAATTTTATTTTCAGATTAAGGAATAGAGCAAAATTTTAGTTCATTTGATTCCATAAATCAAAGACTGGAACGAGTTGCTTTAGATTTAGTTTATTTGACTCGATTAGAAGATTCTGTTTGTCTAACTTCTAATTTTCCATATACATACCAGCCAACATTGGGGAAATAAAATAACGGAGATTTTACTTGTGACATTTTTTGGGCTACGGATACATCATGCATAATCAGGCATCAGGAATTTTGGTACATTATGCATAATCATGTAAAACAAAGAGAGAAATTCAAAACTGGAAATAATATAAGCACTTACATTTAGCGAAGTAAAAAATATGTAAATAAATCTTAATCTAAAGAAGATTTTTTTAAATCACTATTTATAAATTTCTTACACTATAAACACTCAACATACTGCAGTACTGGCAATAGCACTATCTGTTGAGGAATAGGAGTAGTATTTTTGCCATTAACGAATATTTTATCGCCAAAATTCCTTTCTTTTTTAAATTTCTTTAATACATACGGAGTCATTTGAGAATATACGGGTAAACAGGAGATTCGTAAAATACTGGAGTCTTCGCTAAAAAGCAGAAGACTAGGCAGGTATGGATTAAAGAACAGGGCAAAATTTTAATTCATTTGATCTGATAAATCAAAGACTCAATTAAGTTGATTCAGATTTAATTTTTTTGACTTCATTAAAAGATTCTGTTTGTTTAACTTCTAATTTTCCATTTATCAAAAAAAGTTAATAAAGAACTTGCCTGAGGTAAAAGGGCAACAAATCTGGGAGACTCATTTTGTCGAGCAATCAACCTGCAAATTGCAACATAACCTCTTTTATTCAATTGAATTATCAATGCAAGAGATAGGCGGGTACTTCCTTCGATGGCCTTTTCGTCTGGGTACACAAAAACAGAGGGTTTTAGATGATAATGACTCTTCAAACAAGAATTTGGTTTAAAACCCATTAGTAAAAGACCTAAAGATAGAATTAAACAAAAAAAAACATTATCACACAACAAAAGGAAGTATTTTTACTAGGTGCATTAAATTAGGAATATTTTATAATTTTTTTTTTATTTGCATTAATAGAAAAAGAGGTGCTATTTCCTAACTGAATATATACCACTGATAACAAAAATTAGAGCCTGTTAACAGGGTTGCAACAGAAAAAAATGAACAAAATAGTTGCTTGTATTAGCCTAAAGCATGAAAATTGTTTTCTAAGTAAGTACAAAAAATTTTCAATAATATTACTAAAATTTTATTAAATGACTTAATTGTCCATTAACTGTCTTCCACTTAGTCAAGTTGGTAGCAAATATGATAGATTTTATATAAATGTTAGTATTCTATACTTCGTTTCACCTTAAGTTGGCACTGCAGGGAAAGGTAGGAAATGTAATACTACGTCTTTGAAAAGTAGTTCTTCGCTATTCTGGAATTAATTACACTTTAAATGTGCGTACAAATATAAATAAATGTTGTATAATAAGAAATGTGCATCTTGAAACATGTTTCAGAAGTTTTATCATGTTTAAACCTTTTCCCTCCCCCACAAAACACCAATGTGGGATGAATCAAAAATATAAATCTATATAAAAAAAAAGGGTGCATACAAAAATAAGCTTCTAAAGTAAAGTATTTATGAGCCTCTGCGTTCTTTTTTGTTTTTTTTTACTTAGATTTGATTTTAAAAAATTTCTTTTTAAATATAATTTTGTTTTGCTTAAAATTAGTTTTGTTTAGTTAAATATTATTAATAAAAAAATCTGTTTTTTTAAAAATCATAAAATATAATAAGAAATCAGCTTACAATTAATATCTCAAATCAATCATTATTAAATATGCTCTAAAAAAATCTTGTTCTTTTCTGTATTTTGCTCAAAATCTTAGTAAGATTCTTGGTTAAAAAAAATACATATTTAAATCGGCGCTTTGCTTTCTTTAATGCCAATATTAGCCACTTTCTCTCTGTTTTTGCTACCTCATGCCCCCAANAGGAACATCTATTGTTAGAAAAATATAATAAGAAATCAGCTTACAATTAATATCTCAAATCAATCATTATTATAAATGCTCTAAAAAAATCTTGTTCTTTTCTGTATTTTGCTCAAAATCTTAGTAAGATTCTTGGTTAAAAAAAATACATATTTAAATCGGCGCTTTGCTTTCTTTAATGCCAATATTAGCCACTTTCTCTCTGTTTTTGCTACCTCATGCCCCCAACTATCTTAGAGCAACACAGTTTCCATGACAACGGCTGCAATCCGGTCTACCTGCCTTTCTCTTCAGAGCCAACTTAAGGTGAAACGAAGTATAGCAATGTATTTGAACTTAAATGGATGAATAAAATGTATTTAATAATGATTGAAAATTTGAACAAGATATAGTGAGATTTTTGAACTAATAGTAGAAATTGAAAAAAAAATGTACTTTAAGGCAATCATTTTGACAGCTGTTATTGTTAAATGAGTAAATTAATTCACCTGGATCATCAAAATAGCGAATCTGCTTCACCTCGTCATCAGACATGTAAATTTTCCTTCCACCATATTCTTGATATTTCTTTAAATCTGATAGTAATAAAATTTCACCAGTATCCTAAAAAGCAGACTAAAATCATTAATAATTTCATGACCACTTCAAGGAAAGCAATTAGAGTGCAACATCTTTTTATTATTATATTTTTGATTATTTTAAATTGTAAAATAATCAAAAATATATCAGAATCAATAATCAGAATATTGACATCAAATTTCTTCATTTCACACGCTATTCAACACACTATTATTAAATACATGCATAGTAACCTATAGTGCCATAGTGTAGGCCCCCTAATACGCCTATAATTATTTCCTCTGGTAGGGTATACAAGTACTGGTTTATATAATACATGGCTCAATTTGAATATTATGGGTCAATATTAAGGGGATTTATACAGAATTTTTGTAATACAGAATATTGATTTTGAAATGTAACATTGAATAAAGCACTTGAATGTGCTATAAATGAATGTAAATAAAAATATTTAAGTGCTAAATAATACAGATTAAAAAGTTGTATTTTTAAGAAAAATATTACAGTTATTAGGCTTTATCAAACCAAATTGATTTTGTTTGTCACTTCTTTTATTGAATTATATTATCATTTAGCCAATACAGCATCATGAACAAAATACGTCACCTTAACTAGTGCAAAGCTTATGAGAATCTTACTACCAATTAACTAGACTTAAAGCTGTTTGAATGTGGGACTATTTTAAATACATCTAACAAAAACAAAGTAATATGCCAGGTATAAATAAAATAAATGCAGTCAATACAAAAGACCACACCTCAAATTAGTTTGGTTTAGTGAATGTTACGTTTAACAGATGTTAAACAAATTAGTTATTAAAAACAAATTAATATTTTAAAAAACATACAATGAAATGGAGGAATAAATATTTTGAGAGTTTACAATAATCATCAACATAAAACATCATATTTAAAATCTATCTTCTGAAATAAACAAAAATAATAAAAACTTACACCTAGGAATGTATTTGTAACAGAGACAAGCTCAGCATTAGTTTCTTTGGCCAATTTTACTGGAACAGATTTAGAAGTAGGAGCCACAAGTTTGTACATTTTAAAGGCGATTTTTACATCACTACCAAGAGTAAAATGCAAGCTTCCCATTGGCCTCTTTCTGTGATCTTTACATCGCACTCTGATAGGATGAAATAAAATAAAGAAATAATTGTTAAGTATTTTGAACAATTAATTTTAATTTAACAGTTTAGTAAGTACGGCTAATTTTCTTGACATCAAAAACTGGTTTTTGACACTGCACATCAAAAACTTTTGAAATCAAAACTTAATATAAAAGACCAATTACAAAAAACCAAAGACCTTAATACGAAAGACCATAACTTAATAAAACCTCTCCACTGACAAAAAAGAAACTTACTCAAGTTTTTGACAATTTTTGCCAAATTTTTGATAAGAATTGTCAAAAACTAGGAAAAGTTTCTTTTTTGTCAGTGGAGAGGTTTTATTAAAAGTCAGTGCATAATTGCATTATAAAAATTTGATTCATATTAAACATTATTTATAAAAAATATAGCCAAAATTTTTCCAATTAACTGTTTTTTTTTCCTTCAAAAAAACATGGTACTATTTATACCTTAATATCATTATTATTTGATATATTATAACTATTCATTTCATATTGCAGATAATAACTGTGAGATGTTAACTGTTATTCTAAATATTGGTTTTAAGTCCTTAATTCCACAATTTAGACGGATATTTTAGCTCAAGTAAAACTAAAGTGGTCATCAATAATTGTCTGATCTCAATTGAGAAATACTTTTTGATTCTCAATATTTGTATTTAATACTTATACGTACATAGACATTATCCATAAATCATGATTATAATATATATTCCCTGATAACGTACAAAAATATGAATATTAAAATCAAATGTTAAAATATCAATAATGTTAAATAATCAATGAGTTAAAATCAAATTATTACCTTTTTTTTTAAATCAATCAATTCAAGTGTTTAAATTATCTTCAATAATTAGTACAGTTTGTAGAACAAACTTTCTAATCAATGTCAATTTAAGTGAGCTATTTTTTTAAAAAAAATAACAAACTAGGTAAATTGCAACTTTACATATTTTAATTTATAATTATTTAATATTTATAAAAGATCAAATTAGTGCCTTTTTTTTAAATCAATCAATTCAGGTGTTTAAGTTATCTTCAATGATTAGTACAGTTTGTCGAACAAATTTCCTAATCAATGTTAACTTTGGAGTGTTATTTTTTTTTTTTTAAATTTAACAAACTAGATTAATTACAACTTTACATATTTTCATTCATAATTATTTAATATTTATAATAGATTATGATTTTCTACACAAAATTTAGAAGTTTTGACTGTAATTGTCAAAAACAAAAAGGGGCTTAATGTCAAAATAATTTACATAAAAGATTGATCACTTTTAACCTCATCTGTACATTTATTTATATTTGTTTCATATTTAAAATAACTAATTATCTTTACTGTGATTAAAATCAGATAAAGCTGTTAAAACACTAGCCTACCCTACATACAGCAGAGTTTGTTAACAACTTCAAACTTAAATTTAAAAAATAAAACCTGAAAAAACATTTTTGTTTAAAAAAAATACAGAAAACTTATAAAAAAATTACAGAAAATGCAGAAGCTTTTAGGCATTTTCAACTTTTATTCCTTATTCCAAGAATTAATAGCATAATTATTCAAATATAGTTTTTTACTCAATTAGCTCAAATAAGCCTGAAATAAAAGATAAATATTTTTTTGTACTATGTATTATATTTAGTATTAATCAATGACCTACAAGATGGATCATGCTGAGGCACAGCAAAAATTCAAGATGTCATCATCTGAGCAAAGCAGGAGAGCTTATCTTTAGATAAGTAAATGAAGAAGTTTTCTAAATGAAGAAGATTCAAGTCTCAGCAGTATAGTAAGGCAAAGGAAGCGCAGTAAGCTTGTTAACTGTGGAAAAGTTAATAATTATTGTCCAAATGAATTTGAATTTTTACAAAACCTTTTCTTTAAAAAAATGGATTTAATGATGCTTGTAATTCATAATTTTAAAACCCGTTATAAGATATGGTTTTAGATTTTTTTTTCTTCACAAAAAAAGACAGATTGAAACCCATTCAACAGTAATTATATATTCAGAAATTTATGTTTCACAAAATGAGTTGATTAAGAAGCATGATTCACCTTGTTAACAAATCATCAAACTTATCAGAAGCATCAGGAAATTTATATTCTTCATCCTCAGCAGTCAAAGCTATGTCCTAAAATGTTATTAATGAAAAAAAATTTATGAATAAAACCAACAAAAACAAGTAATATAAAAAAGAATTTAAGTCAATTCCTATTTAGGTCAACAGAGAAAAATTTTATTTTAGTTACTTTTTATTAAATAATTAAAAAAAATTTCTACCATATGAAACTAAAATTAATGAATTTAATTTAATTAATGAATTAATATTTGGAAAAAAATCTGAATTAACATCAAGTGTCTTCCACTACAAATTTGAAAAAAATGTATTTGAATTTGAGTGGATGAATAAAAAGTATTTTATTAACGATTGAAAATTTGAACAAAATAAAGGGAGTGTCTGAACTAATAGTAGGAATTAAAAAAAAAAGAAATTTAAAACAATAATATTGGTTTAAGAATTGTACAATTATAAGAAGATCATATTTTAAAGTTTTTATGCCATAAAACTATTTGACTGATTTCTTTAAAATATGCAATTTTTCATTCATAATTATATAGTTTTTCATTCCGTAAAAAGATTAGAATATCTTACTATTTAAAATCCTTTTCACTATTACTGAATCAAATAATTATTAAAAATTACTTTTGCATAGAATCATCTTTGAAAAAAGAGTTTTCTAATTTTTTACAGAATATTTCTGATTTGCTTTAAAATTTCTATAGAGAAAGTGAAATGTGCAAGCAAACATTAAAAGGTTTTAATTTGTGAGTGCTATCCACTAAACTAGTGGGACCAGATTTTTCAGATTGCTGCCACATCCCTCCCATATTTTAGCTCATATTTTATTTAATAACCGTTGCTGAGCTGCTGGCCCAATTTTGGATTTACTACTATCAATGTTCAACTCTGTAGTTTTGAACCTAATCCAGAAGACATGGTAACTCCTGGATCAAGTATTGGGAGAAATTCGCCTTTGTGGAGGACTTTTCGGATGGAACTAACCCGCATTTACATTACATGGAGAGTATCATGGGTAAAAATCTTCCTGCATTTAGAAAAAGTGGGGTTCATCTCAAAATTCTCTAAGCACTTCAATCAGAGTGCAGAGCTAGACTTTTGAACAAAGAATAAGCACTTTTTAAGCACTCAAAAAATATTTTTAATCAAAAAAAAAAAATTATAATTAGGATCTGTGCAGTAATAAAAATTATTCCTTCCTATTATTTAAAGTTCTTCATTTATACACATAAAATCAACAAAATGCAAAAATATTTTCAAAGACTTTACGTAATTATGATAAAATAACTAGTTTCTAATAAATATTGCAGGAAAAATTGTGAAAATATGGCTTTTTTTTAACTTTATGACGACGATCAACACGGCAAAGAAAAATCTTATTTTGAGAGATTAAGTACTTCTTACAAACTCCTCTCCAAAAAAAGCACCTTTAAGAACTTTTAAAAAATTAAAATAAAAAATAAGCACCTTTAAGCATTTTTTAAAAACTACTGCCAATGATGCAATGAAAGAAAAATTATCAGATACCTTGTAAAACTTTGATGGATCAAAGATTGTATTTTGTCTTTTGATATGCATTACGTCAATGTCAATGCTGCTCTCGTGTAAATCTTTAGCTTTTGTACGAGCCTGCAGTTGTAGAGTAGGGTTGCTACCATGGGGATCATCAGTAGAAGTGAAAAGTAGGATTCTTCTGTGTGCTAAAGTGTACTTACTGAAAAGGAAATACAGGATTAGATTGATTGTTGCAAAGAAATTATGAAAAGATCAAGGACTTTAACTAGAAAAGGCCCACAGCATCTGTCATTTGTTATTATGAGGAAGTGATTTTCAACCACTGTGCCACGGCACTTCTGTGTGCTGCCAAATTCTTAAGAGCATGCCATACCACATAAGAAAATTTTAGTCCAAAGTTTACTTTCTCCTTCATTATTAATTTAAAAGAAAGAAAAAGTGAGTTCAGGCAAACCTAGAGTAAGTCATGAAGTTTCAATTGCTGAAAAAAATATGAACAAAATTGAAAAAATTGAAAAAAATGGAAACAAATTATTAGAAGAGAACTTCTCCATTGCGTAATCCTAAATTATTAGCTCCTAATTTATTTTCATTTTTATATTTTAAATTTATTTATTTTTTTAGTATTTGAAACTTTGTGGCTTACTCTAGTTTTGTCTGAACTCTCTTTTTCTACACTTTATATTTTTAAATTAGTCAGAAAGGAGAAAGAGAATTTGCTACGGAAATTTTCTTCCACGGTTGGCATCCTCTTAAAGTGCGCCACCAAATTTTAGATATGATATGGCAAAAATTATGTTTTTTTATTGTGAGTAAAGTTTAAATTAAAGAAAAGTATGTATATATATATGTAATATTATATATAACACATATATATTTATCTTTATATAATGTAAGATGATAGTGAAATGATAACACATAGCCAATCACAGAAGACTTGCGGTTAATAACGTACAAAACAGCCAAGCAAAATTGAGAACACATGAGTGTGAAAAAGTAATAATTTTTAATAATGCTGTCTGCTGAATTGTTACAACTAAACTTACCAGCTTAAGTTTGTTGAAATTTTTATTTTGTTTTGGGTATGTTTAATGATGGTGTACCAGCTTTACATTGTTGTTCGTGCATTTTTATTGGCCTGAAAATCACGAGGTAGTGTCCAGTTTCACCTCATTTATTTCCATATTGTTTTGGTTGTCATCAGCATAAAACTAATGAAAGTCATAAAGGAATTGTTTTTGTATAAAGATTTTTGTAACCCTAATTTAAAGTTATTTTCCTTTAAAGTTATTTTCCTATTACTACGTTTTTATTCACTTTTTAGTTTAAAACTAAGAGAATAGTAGAAAAATTACTTAGAAAAATACTTAGTAGAAAAATACTTAGAAAAATTACTTCTGCTTATCAATAGGTCTAAATATTTATAATACTAATAGATAATAAGATTTGGATGTGGGAGGCACAAGAGTAAGCAAACAGAATTTCTTTTATTACATAGATGTTAAGTGAATAATTTTAACTTTAGTAGAAAAAATGTTTTCCGCCTAGAAACGACAATAATTGTGAAGCAATCGTAGGGGCATAACATCTTTAACAGCGTAAACATCTTTGTCTGTGATAGTCCTGTCTTTGACAATCTTAGAACGTTAAAATAAGTAGGAAATTTAATGACTATTAAAATCATAAATTAACAAAAAAGAAAGCTGAATATTAAATTTTAAAAGGAAATAAAAGCTAGCAATTAAAAATAGTTAAAACAAATTCAAAATTATTATCATAAACTATTTTACACAATGTTTAATAGGTAAATAAACAACTGTTTTTTTTTTAAACTTATTTTTTACCTTGTGTTCTGTCAAGTTTTGAAAGTGTTAAAAATGTGCTGCAACAAAAAAAAAGGTTAAGAATCACTGTATGAGGTCTTTTCAACTGTTAAAGAGGATGGAAAAGAAAATATTCTAAATTTTCTTTTGATTCACTTAATTTAATTTTCACAAATAAACTGATGGTGTATATTTATTCGATTTAGCAGTATCATTTCAAATATACAAGGCTTTAATCAAATCTGAAATCCCTATTACAGTCAGACCTCGATATAAGGTCACCCTAAGAGACATCGCAAAAGTGACCTTATAAGTGGGGTGACTTTTTAACTGATTCATTAGTAGTTCGTAACTAAGCACATAAATAGTACACATTATGACTTTTTAAAAATGGGAATACAAACGAAAACGATCAGCAATAAATTAAATATTTAAGTCAATAACTTTTATTTTTTTAAACGACAATAATTGTGAAGCAATCATAGGGGCGTAACATCGTAACATCTTTAACAGCGTAAACATCTTTGTCTGTGATAGTCCTGTCTTTGACAATCTTAAAACGTTAAAATAAGTAGGAAATTTAATGACTATTAAAATCAGAAATGTTCATGGTTTGAAAAAAAAATTTCGTTTGACATTTATTGCATTGAAGGAAGCCTTCAATGCAATAAATGTTGGGTTACAGCTACAGTCTCAGGATCACTGCCATTGTAATTACTATCCACAACTTGAGAAACAATTTCAGAAATTGTAGCTTATTCATTGGCTGCAACATTTTCTTAGAACTCAAGACGGGTAATTGCCTTGTAAGGAAGTTAAATAGGCTTTTGTTAGAAAAGAGCTTCCCTCGCCTCAGATAAAAATGACCTTATAAGCGATATTGATTTTTAAAACTTGACCATATATCCGATAATCTGTAGCAAAGAATTCCTATTCAGTGAACCGAGACTTTGGAAAAGTGGCCTTATATGCGGATGACCTTATATTGAGGTCTGATTGTATATAGATTCTCTATTAGTTACCCAATGAAGAGATAATCAGAATAGATCAGAATACATCAATGAAAAAATAAATTATTTTAAGCTCTTTCTTTAAGTTTGATAAATACTATCTATACTATTTACTATCTATACTATTTACTACTATCTATACTATTACTAAAACTACTAAAACTATTTAAAAGCAATAATAAAGATAAAATAAACATTTCTTACTAAAATTTTTAAAATTAACTTCAAACTATACACTAAATAAATAAAATCATGGTTATTTTTGTTCAAGCTCAACATAATAAAATTTTAAAAACCGGGAAGTGGGTTATTTCCCAATTAGTTACCCAATGAAGAGTAAATAAGAATAAATCGGAACGCATCAATGAAAAAATAAATTATTTTAAGTCTTTATTTAATATTGATATATACTAACTAACATTTAAAAACAATAACATAGTTAAAATCACAGCATTAATCAAAACTTAATACTTTGAATGAGCACCAAAAATAAAAAAAAATATATTTTAAGCAAAGCAAAGTATATGGTGAAAACATGAAATACATTCATATACAACTGAGCAAAGAAAGAGAGGTAATTTTTAATGGCATGTTCTCTCTAAATACACTTATTTGAACTTTGCAACCCTCCAACATTATAAAAACAAATTATATATTTTCTACATCGTTTTTAGTTTTATTTTATAAAGCTTTTGATTTTTATTGTCAGTCATTATTCTTTTTAATATTATCTTCACTCAGTTTTAAATCTCTATTTTTTGTTATTAAAGTTTTTTATGCTAAAGTTTTTTTTTCAGACAGGCTGACTTTTTTTCATACTTCACCTCCTTTTCTTCATTTATGGTAATTTAGGCTTCTAGGTGATTTCTTTTATCACTTCCACAATATTATTGAAAACCAAATGTTTAATAATTATTATGCCAACTCCTAAGTTTAAATTCATTCCCAACTTTCATTTGGATATAATTCTTACAGAAAAGACTCATTCCAAGTAACTAGCAAAATTTTCAAAAAGGCAAAACTGCAATAATGAAAAATATTATATATATTTTTAAGATAAAATTGGCATTGAATATCAGACCAACTGAAGCTTAAATTCATTCTCGACCTTCCTTTGGATATAATTCTTACAGAAAAGCCTTATTCCACAGAAACTAGCAAAATTTACAAATATGCAAAACCAAAATTATAAAGTATTATATTTTTAATAAGACGAGAATCTGCCTTGAAGAGTAGCACTTCTTCCCTCCTATGTACAGTATTAATAGTGTAAAATACAAATTTTTCTGTATAAAACATCATCATCATAGTTGGCCAGACATCCCAATTTGTGGGCCAATGCCTTCCTCTGAAGATTTCTCCATAACGACTTCCAATTTCCCTTTTAGGAATGGTGTTGAAAACAAACGAGAAAATTAGAAATATTTCAAGAATCAATAAATAAATTCATACATAAATAATAAATTAAAATATGATTACCAGTTAGCAAACATTATGCTACACACCCACAATGCATCAGCTAAAGAAAAATCATAGGAATGGCCAAATTTATCAGTGAAGTTTTGACAATCCACTATAAAGAAAATAAAATAAAAAAAACATTGTGTTAAATTAAAGATAAATGTTTCGAATAAGGTATGTTAGTTTCAAATATGTGATGATTATAATCTAACTAGCACATATATTAGTTATATATAGGGATGTAACGAATAGTAAATAGGCCACATACCCAACCTTTTGGACAACAACAAAAAATTGGCCCAATACCGAATATTCTGCAGCTGAAAAGCCACGGAATATATTAAAATATCATTAATAAGTATTAGAGAGATCGGAAGTAATTTGATTTTGGTGCATTAAATATTCATTACTCTTAAAACCAATTCATTTTCTTAGATCCGCCATTGAAAGGTTGTTGATAACGAGGGTGAATACATTATTGATTAAAAACAAAATCTTGAAAACAAATATCAAATGCACTGAAATGACATTACTTTCTGGTCCCTCTAATATTTAGTCATAATTAAAAATTAATCAAAACTTAGCTATTTTAGATTAGATTTAGAGGTACAGGCAGCGCAGAGAAGGAAGACACATAGACTAGCAGTCTATTGTACCCAAAAACTTAGCTATTTTATTGGCATGGGGAAAAGGGGAAAAAACTTTAATAGTTATCTATTGGAAGTGTTTAAAATAAACAAAAATTGACTAACTAATAAAAAAAAATTAAGTTTTAAAGTTGAAAAAAAATCCTCATTAAAAAATTAATGTTAAAAAGTACAGTACAGAACCAGTTATCCGGAAATCAAAAAACCGGAAAACCAAAAAGCCAGAACAAAATTTGATAAATTTTTTCGCCATTTTTTAAAAAATTAAATTTTTTTCCTCATAAGATTTTACAATTTTTCTTTCTTTTTTTAAAGATGTTTATCTTACCATCCTTTGGGAAATAATCATTAGTGTATTACTTCATCGTTTTTTCTTATTTTTAAGATTATTTCCAAATTGTTTTTTTTTTTTAGTTGGGTTTAACAATAAAAAAACGGCTTTTTGTAGCGATCCAGAATAGCGATGGTCACGACTGTTCCCGATAATCGGTTCCCTACTGTAATATTTTCTGGGAGGGGGGAAAAGAATCCATAAAATGATAAAAGAAATATAATCCATAAGAAACACTTTTGAAAATGTTGCACTATCATTAAATTGCCCATAAGAACAAAAGATTATATACAAAAGCGAAACAGTAAAAATTAAATTGATATTAATTTTTTAAAGAACATTTTAAAGCTGAATAACTGAGGTATTGAATTGCTGTATTTTCAAGAAGAAGAAAAGAAGTAAGAAGGAATAAAGTCTAATAGAAGCCCTCATAACTGTCGTGTAATAATAAAAGCATTGTTAAAAATGAAAGTTTTTTTTAAAAAAAAAGAAGAAAAAGCTAGATCAAAACCAAAGTAAAATTTGCTTCTAATTCTTAAACCTAAAGAAACTAAAATGCTTTTAAGCGATTATTCTAATTTTAGTAAAAAAAAACTTTCAAAAAAGTATTTTATTGTTTGTAATTGGATACGGAGGTAAAAATGCCATAGCACAAAAAAAACTTTTATATGACCATCTGAACAATTATAACTTGTAACGCATTTTCCCAAACTGTTGGAATTTTTTGTGAGTATAGGTTATGTAACATCCAAAAATGTGATTTATAAAAAATTAATTTTTTTCATATTGTTAGATCTTGCAAAAAAATCTGGAATAATTTATGTGATTGCATAAAATTAAATTGCATTTTTAAAAATATTTTCCAGTTTTTTCGGTGGGAAATTTGAAATTAAAAAAATCTAATTTTTCAAATTTACGTAACATAGCATATTAGTTAACATAAAATACCGATTTTTCTACATATTGAATTATTTTTTTATCTCTCATAGGACCTTCTATGAGCCAAAACGAATGTTGTCCCCTAAAATTATTCCTCATAAGGCATACATCCCACTAGTTTTCCTCATAAGGCATACATCCCACTAGTTTTCCTCATAATGCATACATTCCACTAGTTTATTTCAAAATTGGCGAGTCACACTTCCCTAGTTTCCCTTGTTAGTACGAGTAAAAACTTAATATGTGTAATGTATAGTAAAAAATACAATTTCAAATCATTCTTTAGACTATTCAAAAGGAAATAGAAATTTATTGAAAAATACTTTGCCAAATATTTGGCAAAAGGTCAGAATAGGCAGAGTATCGAATATCAGTCACATCCCTAGCTATATACACAGTTATAGTCATAATAAGAAGTATAAATACTTTGTAAAGATGATTTTTAAAAAAAAGGAAATTTCTTCACTTAACAGTTTCACGAGAAAGTCAGCTAAGTTGTCTTTACTACTAATATGTTTAAATTTGAATAAATTTTGTTCTAGCACATTTCTAATAAATTGATATTTTACATCAATGTGTTTTGTCTTTATATTTTTGATTGAGTTAAGTTAAAAATATAGAGAAAACATGGAAAATATAAAGATTTATGAAAAGAAAAATTACAAAAATAAAATAAAATATTTTTAAAAAAATATTTAAAAATTTTTTTTTTTAAAAAAACTATTATTTTTCTTAACTTCTTTCCTTTTTTTTCATCCTTTTTCTCTTTATTGTGTTACATATATATATACATACCCATAAGCAGAATATTTTCAAATGTTCTGCAAGCATTTCAAATGTGAAAAAAAGTCAACACATTACATTAAAATACTACATTTTCACTTATTAAAATACAGGATCATACTCAGATACACTACATTCTTTTTTAAACCAAGGTAAACATTCTTGAATTGTTACTTTTTCAATCACTTTTGAAGTACAAAATTTTGTTAATGACGATGATGATGATGAATTATTAATAAAATGCCTATTATAAGAAGGTCCGAACATTAAAATAAGGGTTGCCTTAAAACTCTTTCGAAGGGACAAGTGCCCAGATGGTGCACCATTTGCACACACAAACATTCGATAGTCTGTTATTCCAACAACTTCATCTCCATCAAAAGCATTTGGTGTTTTAGAAACAATTCTGTCAATCGTGGATCCCCACAATTCACAAATTGCTTCTGAAATGGGAATGAAAAATATAAAAGTAAAACTTTATGAAATTGGAAATCTTTGAATTGAATTTTTTTTACCGCTTGCTTTAGAAACTCTATTCATAAAAATGGTGATCGATTTCTCCTGATGTCTGCTAAAAACTGATACACTCATTTTATAAAAATGTTACAGCCAAAAGCTAATTCATTAACTTCTTCCTCAGAATGGCAAAGATAGATTACTGAGCTGTAATTTGTGCAGGGTGTCAAATGTTCTTCTTCTAAAGCAACATCATTCCTGGGCAAGTGATCAGAGAAAGAGAATTTTCATTCGTTTAATGACAATATCAATGTTTTCCACTTTTTCAAAATATATTTTATACTGCTCCAACGTGGAATTAATGCAGATTATCATTTGCATTGCATCTGAAGAAAATATGGAAAGCTCAGAATTATTTAAGACAGAGCGTAGTCTTTTGGAGCTAGCAGGCAAATCTGGCAGAGAAACTCCTTGAAACATACTTTCTGACTGAGGGGGGAGGAAATGTTCTGCAAAATTATGAGGGGAAGATTTTAAACCTTCAGGTCTACAGAAGAATGTATGAGATTAGGGTTGAGGATTGTTCTGCAACACTACCGGAGGCAAGTGGTCGCGTTTTGCATGAAAATGCTGTCAGTCATTCAAGATACAAATTGTTCTGCAGGACTTTGTTTGTTCTGCGAAGTACGTCACAGTTTTAGGCACTTTCTGCTACTGGGTATATATATATANGCGGAAAATGCTCTAAAGAGAGAATTACTGTTTTGGTCGCTTGTAATATGGATGGGACCGAAAAATTGCCCTTGTTTGTCGTAGGTAAATCAGCGAACCCACGTTGTTTTAAGAACTTAAAAACTTTACCCGTTGTATATGCTTCAAATAAGAAAGCCTGGATGAATAAAATGCTTTTTAAGAAATGGTTAACAGACTTGGACAGGAAACTATTTCGGGAAAAAAGAAATATTTGTTTGATGCTTGACAATTGTAGTGCTCATAATGATATTCACGGACTAAAAGCGATTAAATGTGTTTTTTTACCTCCTAACACCACAGCAAAACTTCAGCCGTGCGATCAAGGTATCATTCATAGCTTGAAGGTGCAATACAGAAAAGAAATGGTACGCAAGATGATCCATTGCTTTGATAATAAAATTACATTTTCTGTAAATCTATTAGACGCAATGAGATACTTAAAATGTGCTTGGAACAATGTTTCTTCTGAAACAATTATAAACAGTTTCAAGTGCGGTGGGTTCACAGATGGAAAAGAAATGAATCTTCAAGAAATAAGTGAAGCAGAACCAGAAACGTTGACTAATTTGATCGAAGAAGCGGAAAAACGCGGGATTCTATCAGCCCCTTTGTTCAAAGACTACACCACTATAGACGAAGATTTGCTAACATCGGATATAACCACCGATCAAGACATAATCGCTGAACTATCGGCGAAAAATGATGATGTCGACATGGATACAACTGATGAAGAGTCCGATATTGAACAAGAAAATCCAGTTACTTTAAATGAGGCGACATGTGCAATGAAAGTAATTAATCGTTTCCTCATGCAACAAGAAAATGCTATGGATGCATTAGATAACTTAGAACATATAAATGACTTTATTAATAAGTGTTATCTTAAGAAATTAAAACAGAAGTCAATAACTGACTTTTTTCAACCTTGATTCCGTAACGGATAAATAAATTCGTAATTTGGCGTTCAATTCACTTCATTATTTCTTCTCCAAATTTCAAGTTATTTTTAAATGTTCATTGTTTTTAGTATTTTTAATTTTATGTTAAATTCACTTAAATTTACAATATGTCTTCATTAGTAACTTTTAAGAACTGTAATATATAAGTAATTGTTTAGTAGTTCAATAATTGTTGACTAGATGCCGCCACTACCTAAACGGTTAACACGAAATTCGGTTAACACGAAAAATTTCGGTGGTCCCGACGATTTCGTGTTAACGGGGTTTGACTGTATATATAAACAAAATCTATTTAAAAAATTACTTGTCATCAACTCTTCCGTTTCCAAAACTCTATCAGCACCTGGTTCAGTCAAATCATGAAACACATAAATGTGTTTAAAATCTGTGTTGTTTCTAGAGTTTTTTGATTTATCCTAAAAAAATATTTATAACCAAATATAACAATAGAGCATAATAATAGACAACAACAAACATTCATGGATATTCTTAAAATTCACTCATTAAATATTCTTTATAAAAAAATATAGCAGTGTTCACATAATTTTTCAAACCTGTATTTACATCAAATATCGATATACAGTTTGTTGGAGAAAAAAGTTTCAACTTTTGTAATTTTTTTCTTATCTTAAATAATCAGATAAAATACTCACTGTTCCAAACAAAACAACACCAATGATATCTTTACGACTAGAGATGATTTTGTTAGTTAAGGTAGTACGAGCACACTAAACAAAGTAAAAATATATTTATGTTAGGATAACGAAATTAATAGAAAGCATAAATTAAAACTACAGATAAACAAATAACAATAAAAAAAATTAAAATCAATTCCTACTTAAGTCAACAAAGAATTTTTTTTAATTTTACTTACTTTTTATTAAATAATTAAAAATTTTTCTCCCATATAAAACTAATATTAATTAATTACATTTAATGAATAAGTTGATATTTGAAAAAACTGTATTAACATTAATTGTCATCCACTACAAGTTTAAAAGAAATGTATTTGAACTTGAGTGGAGATGACTAAAAAGTATTTTATTAACGATTAAAAATTTGAACAAGATATAGGGAGAGTGTGAACCAATAGTAGGAATTGAAAAATGGATACAATATAAAATAATTTTTAAAAAAATCAAGATTTTTGACTGAAACACAATCAAACTTGCTGTTTAGAAAGGGCAAAAGAACCAAACATATTTACTCACTGAGCTATTTCATCCAAATTCAATACATTTATTTAAAATAAAAATCATACTGCACAAAAATTGGCAGTTTATATTTTCTGAAAAATTTGCATTATCGCTTAGAAAAACTTAATTCTTTTCCTCATGGCAGAAATTTTTCGAGTTATCAGCGACTAAACTCTCTAGCACTAATATCTTCCAGCAAGATACTTTTAATAATAACAAACTTAAATGTTACTAATTTAAAATGAGAGAAGCAGTGTGTTTAAAAAAAAAACATATATATTTTTTTTAATTGAACATGTAATAATATTTTATTTTAATATTACGGGTGATATTCTCGCAATTTGTTGAGGGGAGGATGCACAAATTATTTCCTTCTTTGCATTTGTAAATAATCATCAAAATAAAAGAAATAATAAAAATCATGAAATCTGTAGTAGTAATTGGTGGGTAAAAAATCGATGCCGAAATCATGCGAATCGGTCTCCTCAAACACATCTTTCATTTCGAGATCATATTGTTGTAATAAATAATATCATATAAAAAAAAAACTGATTTAAAAACGGAAAAATCAATAGCAACAACTGCCAAAAATTCAATAGAATTATTGCCTTAAAAAGTAAATACTCAAATGCATGATTCAAATTGTTTCCATTTTGTCTAAAATACTTTGGGATATTTAAAAACCACGAGAAAATCAATATCAACAACTGACGAAAATGCAATTATCTAAAAGCATGATTCAAATGTTACGTGTAAATTTCTGTAGAAAAGATAAGTATATTGTTTTTTACTTTCAAAAGAAAAATCCTTCTGCAAGAACTCTGTAACGTTCTGCAACAATATCGCGGTGATTCTGCCACGGGTATTCTATTCCTCTAAAGAAAATTCTTAAAAGAAAAAAAGATCATAGATTTTGTGTTTTGGTGTCTGGATAAATGTTCATGATGGTGTTTTACACAACTTCTTTATGTTTTCCTGAATTTTATGTTCAAATTTCGAGAATTACTTTTTTTCATAATATTTTTTAAATTTATTGGTTAAATAGCATGAAATCAACCACACAAAGTAATTCTTAACTTTTAATACATACTTAATGAGCGAATCTGTGGTTACTCTTATTACACATATTCTGTTTTGCAATTGAAAAGCCAATGCAAGCGACAGAAAAATTCAAAGTTACGATTTTTTGGCATTTTTGTCCTAATAGCAAAAGAAAAAATTTTCAAAAAGCAGTTTTCTAAAATTCTGCTTCAACGCAAGACCATTTAAATCTTTAATTGGCAAACAGAAAATATCGTACCCTAATATTAAAATTGAAAAAAAACAACATAACTTAAATATCTATTTCAAGGTGCTCTTTTCGAGCAGTAAAAAAATGGATTTACGGTTATTTTTCTATTGTAAGGGAGACAATAACCTGGCAACCCTTGTAATTACATTGTTTTTTTCATTTGAAGCTTCATTTCTTTAGCTCAAAAAAAAAATAATAATAATAATAACTGTTTGGAAACCGGCTTATTTTCAATAATTAAATGAAGCAAAGTTTCCATTTGCCCAATTTACCCAACATTGATGTTTCTAAATGCCACTGATGATGTTAAACGCCACTGCTGGCTGTAACTTACATGCACGTTTTTTTAAAGGTCAAGTCCCAGAGTGCCACTCCCCAGTGCACATTTGCACTGTAGAATGTACACTGATTTTTTTTAAAGGGCCACTGCTCGGCTGAAGCTCCACATTCTACATTGATGGGTTTTTTAGGTTAAGTGCTTTAAAAGCAAAAAAGTAAAAATACTCTAAAATAGTTAAAACCATCTAGAATAAAGTAATTATACAACATATAAACAGCATATACAAAGAGTCTGAGTAAACAAAAAACTAATATATTCCACTGGAAATTAATACTATGCAAGCGTATTAAAAACTCCACCCGAATGCATTGAAAATTGAAAATTGCCCTAAGCAAAAATTCTTTAGACCAACTGGGCTCTTGGTTATCCCGGATCAGTCATCTTTGTCCCAGCTGAGTGCAAGTTTTAAATTGAGGATTTTAACTTCTGAAGTTTAAATACTGAATTAAAAAGTGTATCATTAGTCTGAGTGACAAATGAGGGGGAGTTTTGCAATGCAGTTGGCAACAGTGAGGACAAACCCATAAACCGGTTTGGAAAGCACTATAAATTGCACTAAAAGCACACTTAATGAATTGCCAGAACAACTATCTTATTTCAAATTTTACTCCATTTACAAAAATATGTAACCTTAATCAATTCCTTCTACTTTTCTTTACAAAAGTTAATTAAAAGAATAATATACAATATTCAAAAATAATATAAAATACCTTTAAGCTCAATTGAAAGGGAGTTTCTCCTTCATTTTCTTCAAACATTTCCCATGTCGCGTCAATCAAAAAAATAATTGCATCTCGACCATAAGCAGAGCCTCCCTGAAAAAGAGAAAAAGTTAAAATCTTGGATTTAACCACTAATTTTTAGTAACCTCATATAGAACTGATTACTAATAAAAATAATTCTTAATCTATCTAATTAATTTATTTCTAGTTAAATATTCAAGTAGTTAAGTCTAAGTGGCAGAATTTTTTCGGGATTTCTGAGATAAAACTCTCTCAGCACTAGTATTTTCTGCAAGATACTTTCAGTAATAACAATGTAAGCTACTAATTTAAGGTAACAAATACGCTGTGTTTCCGAAAACCAAAAAACAATGTAATTTTCTTATTGACTATATAATATTTTTTTGAATCTAATATTATGGGCAATATTCTCAAACTTTGTGGGGGGGGACGCACTAATTATTTCCTTTAACTCATTTTGCAAATCATCATCACATCAAAAAAATAATTAAATATCGTGAAATCTATAGCAGTAATTACCAAAAAACAGATAGACGACAAAATCACGTTAATCAGACCTTTCAGAAAAGAGTTATTCAAATGCACTTTTCGCTCTAAGATTTGATTGCTGCAATAAATAAAAAATATCGTGCTGTAAAAATTATGTGGAAGTCAAAAGCAATGACTGCCAAAAAAATCGATAGAATCATTGCTTTAAAAAGTAAATTATCAAATGCGTAATTCAAATTTCTTATATCGCCTGAAATATATCGGGATAACTAAAACCCATGGGAAAATTAATATCAATAAGAGCAGAAAATACGATCAAAATGGATTTATGATATCAGCATAAATGGAACACTTCAAAAAGTGATTATTTAAATGCACAATTCAAAATCTAAATGCAAATTTCTGCAGAAAGGCAAAGCAAAACTTTTTACTTCACAAAATGGAAATTTTTTTTGCAAGAACTCTGTAAAGTTCTGTGACAATGTCGCCATGTCACCCATCGGGGGTAATTAAATATTAAATTTATTCAAACCAGGGTTAGCAAGGTTTAGGACAGAATGGATTAATCCATGGTTTAAACCGTCCTGTCCAAAACCCCTAAGTCTAAAACTGTCCAAAACCCCTTTACTCAAATTATGTCACAATTTTATCTGAACAATATTTAAGAGGTAAAATAAACATAGAACTAATAACATATTGATAATTAAATATACTAGAAGAGAATATTCGTTTTTAAAAGTATAAAGTTTTATTAATATTGTTTGACTCTTCAATTTAAACAAAGGAAGATTAATCAGTAATCAAGTTCAATTGGTCCTGTCATTCAATAGTACATAACTGAAGTTGGCCTTGCCAGGATACAGGTTAAAATATTAGGGACTAAGTGCTTGGTTCGTCATAAACAGGTTTATTTATCTATAGTACTATTCAAGAATACTTTTATTTCATTCATGTTCAATTCTTTTACCATAGTGGTGATACATCACCAGTGTCAGTAACTGAAACTGATGTTATGCCCTTCAAAACTGTTAATACATTTTTCAGTTATTTTGTATTTTCAATTTAAACTAATATAGTTATATTTAAAAAAAAAAATTTTTTAATAGATGTATTTTTTATTATCCTGTGATGCAGAAATTATAAAATTTTTTAAAAAAAATATTGTAATAAAAATAAAAGGTTAATTTTTGAACAAATTTAGTATTTTTTTTAAGAAAAATTATTATATTTTAATATTGCCATATTTATCCTTATGCAAAAATATTATTTATCAGTATTAAAAGCATATTTATATTTAAAGGATTAGGTATTCACTTTTGTTGTTCAATGAATTGTGGAACTTCAAAAACTATAAACCTTTTCCTATTATATTATTTTCTTTTAATAAGTTATAGTAAATTGTATAAAAAATATAAAATATTTATTGATAAATGTAACTATTACGTGTACAATGGTTACACCAATAGAATTTTTACCTTTTACCAAAGTTGAAGGTTTTGGACACTTTAAGACAGTTTTACCCAGTTTAGGACAGTTTTACCCAGTTTAGAACAGTTTTACCCAGTTTAGAACAGTTTTTCCCAGTTTAAGACAGTAAAACCGATGTGTCCTGTCCAAAACCCCAACCCTGCCTTCAACTTTTTACCAAGTTGGAGGATTACATTTTGCCTTTCTCGACAGCAAATATATTTGCTTATTTATATAAAAAGTATATATATCGCTAAATATATTTAACTTATGCCGGCCAGGTGGCCGAGCGGTTAGCGTGCCTGACTGCGAAGCCATAGGCTGCAGGTTCGAATCCCGCTCTGGGCATGGATGTTTCTCTCTCTCTTTGTGCTGTACTCTGTTGTGTGTGTGTATGATGTGTGAATGTGGCCCACCCTATAAATGGGTTATTGGCAGTGTGGCGTGGGCAATGTTGCTCGCCTCCGTGACTTTGGTTCACAGGTGCCCACTGGGTAACGCGAAATGAGCAACAATTCTGGCATAGTATAGGCAAAGATTCAAATTCAGTGCCTGCCATTAGGAAAAAAAATAATAAATATTTAACTTAAGAAATGCTTGGTAATTATCAAATATTTTCAATTGTGTAAGTGTTTAATGCTCTCTTTTTTTTCTTTCAAGAAATAAAGTACGTCGAGAATTACAGTGAAAATATGTTTCTTTCCCTTGAAATAATATCACTGCTTCATAAGCTATTATTCGTAATAGATATTTTAAATATTAGTAATATGTAATTCTTATTAACTTAACACTTGATCATTAGGGCACTCTCATTAAGCCCATTAAGATACCCGCAAAGTTTTGCACCAATCATATTCCAAAAATTAGTTTCATTTGAAACTTGTTCCCTTACTGAATTAACTTTAAAAATAGTAACCGGGAATACCTACATAACTACTTTTTTTGTCTTGCACAGCTCACTTTTTTTTAAAAATTGCACAACACACAACAAACTTAGAAAAAAGTAGCAGTTTTGCTACTTATAAGAGGGCGACTTCTGACCACTTATCTTAATAAAACTTTCTAGATTATCAAGCGTGTCTATCTAGAATAGTCACATTTCGCCTCGGAAACAGAATATCACAGGAGAGATATCGTTAAGTTATTTTAGAAAGGAGAGTTTGTTATAGTTGGCTCTCTGTTAACCAACTATAAGTACTGAAGATAATAATAAGAATATGTTTAAATGATCTTACAGAAGTTTGAAAAGGTGTAAATTTTTCTTTGAAGAGTAAAAGACTGCATATGTTAGCAGAATAACAATGGAAATTAAAGAGTACCTCCAAGGCCACAATTGTGGCAAGCTTTTTGACAAACTTTGAACGCGTTATAAATAAAATTCATTCTTTCCTAGCTTGACAATTTAATACTTTGCACTAAGAAAGAAAGCGAGTTTCAGATAAATTAAGGTATCCAACTGGGTGCAACGGAATTTTTTTTTTCTGAGGAAAAAAATGCTTAATTAAAATTTTACTTTAAATAAGTACGAATCCTAAAATTTCAAACTTTGCTTTAAAAATTAACCTATTTTAACTTTAAACTTCAGATTTTTTTGAAAATAAAGGTAAATGTGAGCTGAAAACTACACATTTTTCATGTCACTCTAATAGCTCTATAAAAAAAAAATTCTTGATTTATCTGGAAATCTTCAAAACATTTCAAATATACAAGGAATTAAAGCTATATATATTATTCAATATTGATTTTTAAAAAAGCTTGATAAAATAATATATTGGTGCTTAGACCTTAGCTTTCAATTCAAGACATATCTAACATTTCAAAGAATTCTCTCTCTCTATATATATATATTATATATATATATATAAATATATATANTATATTGTAATGCATATTACTTAGCATAGAGAAATTTTCTCAAAATCAACGTTTTTTTCGAAAATGCATTTAAAGAATGTAATTGCTAAACAATTCGCCTGTAACTCAACGAAAAAATATCTAGTACTGCATTTTTAAAAGTTAGAGACAAAAATTTGATCCTTTTAGAGAAACTAATGAGCTAAAAGTCAAATAACTAGATAATATAAAAAAAGATCTAAATTTTCCTCAAAATTGCTGATTTTTACTCAGCCGAATACCTTAACTGATTCATGACTTGTATGTTGTTGATAATCTTGCATAATATTTCCTATAGTTTGTGATTTTTATTGAATTTATTATAAAAGAAATTTCTAGTAACAAGTCATGCATATAAAGCAAATAATACATGCAATGTTCATAGCTTAAAAATTAAAGAATATATTTAAAATAAATCAAAATTGAATTGAATAAAACATAAATTTATTTTTACAAAGAAAATGTATACGAAATATGAACCAAATTAAATAATTTCAAAACAAAAAGATACATTTTGTTACTATGTGTTTCAAAAAGAAAATGTTCCATACACTTCAGGAAAGCGGGGATAAGTAATTTATAAGGTAATACAGTTTCCTGTCATTCAAATTAAACTCTATAAGGAATTATGAAATTAGTTAGGAATGAAAATTACACACCATTATAAGAAATAAAAGATTTTAATATTTCCAATGCAGATTTTTTTGAGTTTATATTAACTACTACTACACAATAATAAACAAATTGTGAAAGTGCAATATTACCTTCCAGGATCGTGCACCGACAGACATTCTTATTTCTTATTAAATTTGTTTACATATGCAACCTACTGCCAAATTTGAACAGACGAAAAAGAGATTGAAAGGACATAGAAATAGCTGCCAAATATTTTCTACTAATCTTTAAAAAATAAACTAGAATGAGTAAGCTAAAATCTGAAATTCGTCTCTTTTTCCCACTAAACCGCACTGTCGGGCGTGCGGTTTTCCAGCAGAACAAGTTTTAGGGAAAATAAAAGAGAAGTACAATATTTTTTAAATTATATATATTATTACTTACATTTTTAAGCAAACGGAGTATTTTCCATAAACAAAAAAGTAAAAACCATTGTGGACCGTCCTAACTGCATACGTTTCACGTATCTCCGATTCGTAGGTAGAAAAGATCCTGATTGGTGAATTTTCGAGACAGAATGTTTCATTTAAGGGAGCATTCTTGATGCAGGCAAAAAATACAGCATATTTTCGATAGCAACGCTCGAATACGCTAACTTGGGTTGTTGCTGTTAATTTACGTCGCACTAGAGCTGCACAATGGGCTATTGGCGATGGTCTGGGAAACATCCCGGAGGATGATCCGAAGACATGCCATCAAAATTTTGATCCTCTGCGGAGGGGATGGCACTCCCGCTTCGGTAGCCCGACGACCTGTGCGCGAAGTCGAGCACTTTACGGTAGCACAGTTTAACGAGGACCAATACCGCACACCCTCGGTCCCTACGCAGACTGATCCAAGTGGTCACCCACCCGCACACTGACAGCAGCCAGTGATGCATGACTTCGGTGATCTGCTGGGAACCGTGTCTTAACACTGCGGGACTACGCTAAGTTGGGAGGAGATCGGTTCTATGCCTTGACCCTTCCCTATCCTCCTTTTCTCAGTTGCATAGAAATTTAATACGATATTTTCCTCTTTCTTAATATTTTTCGTATTTCATTAACACAAGTATTTTTTAAAATTTCTACGACGCTTTCTTTTAGAACAATGTAGTTTTCAGTTACAAATAGTTTCCTACTTAAAAGCTACCAATCTATTTGAAAATCAAAGGAGAAACTGCCGTACTTCCTTCTCCAATGACTCAAAACAAGGTAATGGTGATTTCCATAGGTAAAGAGCTCTGCTCTACACCTATAGCCCTAATCGATCGCCAGTAATTCGGAGTTGTGACCAAGAACCTGATTAACGAGTCATTGGAGTGTCCTCTAAAAGTTATGCAATACGAGAACACCCATATATTCAGGGGCCCCCATCAGGGGGGAAGGTGGGAGCACAATGCGCCCAAAAGCTTGGGGGGGGGCGGTGGGGGCCACTGCATATATTTATATAATAAATTATATGCACAATAAAAAATTTTATTCTATGCATAATTAAACTAACATCAGGGGCAGAACCTTTTTCATCAAACATGATAACCTTACCGAGCAGTTTTGATACATCATATGACATCCTGCATTTGTTTAACAATTACAAAATGAAGGAGTATACATGATTATTAATTTGTATTTGGCATAAATTATTTTCTGACATGTAAATTGTGGCAA